AAAGTTTCTTCATTTTAAGCAATTCCAGGCGTCTTTGTGGACGGATCATTGGCACTTTTCAATTTTAGTCTATAGACGTAACCTAAGCATATCTTCCTGTCCCATTTTTTACCTTTTATGGGCCGATCGTACTTATTGCATAAATAAGATGGAATTACAAGGTCTTACGCTGTAATTAAGAATATATATATATATATACATATATATATACTCTAAGGGAGATTTTGTTAAACAAATCCAAAGTTTTGCACATCTTTTGTATGATCTACATCATATTCTGAATAAAGATAGTCGCGAAAATGCATAAGTACACTTTTTTTTGGAAATGCACATAAGATGAGGCAACCAAGTGTTACAAATTACGTAGCCTTGACATATCAAATTGCCTACCACAAAACCATACAGTAACCAGGGGGCAATTTAATCGTTAGATAAAGACAAGAGTAGAAAAGATATGGGAGCGACTTGATTTAATTCTAACATTGTTTACAACAATGGTAACAAATCGCGAAGATTGTTGAATGATCGCAACTACCTCCTGCGGATTAATTCTTGAACTGTATGACTGAACTAAAAACCGATGGCTTATTTTGTTCAATACTGAGCACAATAATTTTTTTTCTCTAAAAATTTCAAATATTTTTCTTTGCTATTCTTCACAATCGTAGTATGCCGAGAAACTTAAGGGGCTAGATCACCGTGTATTTCTCAAAAAATTGATTTTATTTCCAATTTTTTTTTTTTTTTTTTTATCGGAAATTGCAATTTTTCATTTAAATACTCGCCAATTAAACAGAAATCACACTCTCCCAAAATCCCTGCGTATTGGACTTGATATAGGAATGTAGATGAAATGTCTTCTTAATTCAAATTGGGTCACTTATGTTGTTTACCGCCGAGCACCTTGAACTAAAGATTTATTTTTTCTAATACTTAAAGGAACGCTTAATGTAACCTCCTCAAATATTATTGGTCTGTTATTTTTCCTTTCATCTAAAAAAATTGCCTCCAACATTTTTTTTCTAAAAAAAAAATTGGCAAAAAAATTCTTTTTCAAAAAGCTATTGTGGTCTATCCGTTTAAAATAGAATTTCTGGATAAGTTATGTTCTTGGTATTATTATAAACGCAATGACAAATTAAATTAATTTTTATAAAGCATGTATTACTTAGTTCTAATGCAATAGAATAAATTAAAAGCAAAGAAAACGTTTTTTAAAATCAAGCTAGAATTTAAAAATTTGAAATATTGCCATAAAAATGTAACAATAAATAACACAATCTTACCTATAAGTAAATGCGTATGATATAAACAATTGAATAAGTAATAAATAAAATATAAAAGAATAAGAACCGCAATTGAATTTATTTATCAAGCAGTTGGAAAAGATCAGCAAAATAATAAAAAAAGAGATGATGTATTTTTAATATAGTAATAGTTGAGTTCAGTAATCGAAATTTCGTAAACATAATACACAAAATACACATGCATCGTACATATGTATTAACTAAAAAGAAGTTTAAAAAAAAAGAAATAAATAAACAAAAGAGAAATAGCAATAAAAAAACAAGATATATTATAATAATATGTAACATAATAAGCATAATTAAAACTTTTTAAAAGTTTTACAAATTTGTTCATTTGTTTCTCTATGTTTAATGTTCTCTTCGGTTTTTTTGTTTTTCTTCTAATTATTTTCCATTTTTTTTTGTTCAAAAGAAATTCCCTAGAAAACATGTACGTAAAACACAAACACACACGCGCGCGTTTTTACATGTAAATACGTGGGTATATGCATGGTCAAGTAGTGTGTTAAAATTGAAATACATTTGTATTATATGTGTAATTGTATTTAATTTACGATAATAAATATTACATGTATATAAAAAGTACATAATTAATTATTTAGATTTAATACAAATAAAATCTTGACAAGAAATCAAAGATATTTTAACGGCTTTAGTTTACTTTTTATGAACCCATTGGGTTTAAATTATATCTGCACCACGGCAACGCACCCCCTCTGCATATTATAACAACACGTTTCTCTTCTTTTGAAGATTCTCATGATAAAAAAAAAAAAAAGAAAAAAGACGGACACATAACAAACAAAAACTAAATAAAAAAAACATTAAAAACAAAAGGAAGAAAAAAACATTGAAAACAAAAGGAAGAAAAAAAATATTACATAAATATTTGTCGGTTTAAAAATAAAAGAACCCTTTTATGTGTAACGAATCAAAAAGAGGATACGTTGCGCGATTAAACAGCCCGTTTTTATGTATAATAAATAACACATTTATCGGTTTTTTTTTGTTTTTATTAAGCTTGAGCTTGAAGGTACTTAATGATTTTATTTTCCGTTTTCTCATTAATGTATTGTAATATAATTTTTACTAATTTTTTTTTTCTATTTTTCTGTATTTTCTTGCTCTTATTTCTTTTTAGATTTAACTTAAATCGGAGAGTTTTAATAATTTCAAGTAAAATACACTTTACATAACATTTTTAGTTTAGTAATTAAAACTCTTAAAAAAAAAACAAAATAATAAATAGTTTAACGATGTATAGTACAACAAATGTATTTTATTATATAATGAGAATATTTAAACACCAATAAAGGTAAATTATAAACAAAATAGATACTAGATTCGCTTTCTACCGAATCTTGAACATCCATCACCACTCGATCGATATAAAAAAAAAACTCCTGAAAATTGCAGTATTTTTTGCAGAAACAGTTTAGTGTTTTTTACCCATTATGAGCTAAGCAGTTCGAAAAATACGTTTATTTTCAAACATTTTGTAAAGTGCCAACTCGCCGTCTTCATTTACTTGCAATTTTTAAAATTCAGACGAATAAGCGAGTGGACGTAATGGGATAAAGACAGAGCTGTACGGTTTCGTTACATATTTATGAATGGGGGTACAAGTTTATATTCAGATGATGAATGTAATAGGCATTTTATGGAAGGAAAACCTTCATGTTGCCTAGTAGCGACAAAATAAATATTTGCAGTGCTTATTTGCCCTTGCCAATTATCGAAACTAGAGTTCCTTTAAGAATTGAAAAGCCATCAACACAAATGCCAAATCAGGTGTCGCTGTTAACAGCTTTAAATATGTTTTTGAAGGATTAAATCAAATATTATATGATTAGAGAGACAAATAGCTTCTTAGAAGCCGAGTTATTGCTAGCATAATATAGAGGAATATAAAAAAAAAACAATAATAATATTAATATAAATAATAATAACAATAATAAAATGTAGGTAAGAACAAATTATTGAGCGGAGAGGTGAAGAGAGGGGATTAGAGAGAGAGAGAGAGAGTATTGTAGTTTGCAAAAGGTTTTTTGTTTTAAAAAGCCAACTAACGAGGCCATTTTTAAATGAATTATTTACGGGGCTCTGACATATATAATGTACATACTGCTTTGCTCATGCATATGAATAGATCGCAATTTTTAAAATGGATTTGAAATGCTTCAACTTCTTTCTTCTTATTCAGAATTCTATGCCAATCAATAATACGCAGGTCTCTCTTACGCTTAACACGGTACTTGCAAAGCAACTGTTTTGATATAACACGGCGCAAATATTGCGAATATTATAAGAGGGTTTCAATGCAACACAATTTCAAAATGCATATATATATATTTGACAATTGATTTTTGTCTCTATTTTTTTTTTTTTCGTTAATGAGAGGAATTTCAATCAACTTTGGTAAAAAAAAAGAAATTCCTGATGAAAAATAATTTTCATAATAATAGTGATCGTCATCACTATTTTTTGAATATATTTTTAATTTTGTATTTCATCATGATTTATAACAATCTGAAGTTAATTTTTGTTTATTTGTGAGTTTAAAACGAAATTAAAAATTTGATTATTTACGATTTTGATGGTCGATACAATACGGTACGCATCGCATTGATTTACATTGTCTAAAGGTATCTTATAACACGGCTTCGATACAACGCCATTAAGATTTCGATATAACGCGGTACACATATTTTTGATTGATATTTGATCTAAGTTTAAATTATGTTATATATAACATTTAAGTTTAAATAAAATATATAAAAAAAGTTTCGTATAATCCGGTCTCGATATAGTAACGTACGAATTAATTGCGTTAAGCGGGAGAAGTCTATATATGCATTTAACATATCTCTGTTATCTATTTGTGCGAGGTAAATATATCTTCAAACGCTGGACGGGACACAAAGATGTATACTTGCGTTCAAAAGGGATGAAATTAGGAGTTTTATATTCATTACTCAAAGAAGTATTTAGCATTCAGGCTAGGTATAGTATAATCGTGGACTGAGTCCACAAGAGGCTACACCCTAAAAGCTGAGCTTAGAAAATTAGCCTAAAAAGTGTATCAAAATGAGTTATTTTTTAATGTTTTTTCACTTTAGTTATGGCTTTTGGCTTAGTTTGTCTTATTTTTGTTAAAAAAAAAAAATACACGAATAAATTGTTTTTGCTTATGTTCGTAGTCATTTTAAGTTGTTTTTTTTGCTCTTCTTTCTGCAGCATAACATATTTTATCGATTTTATAAAAATATATATAAAAAAATTTACAATTTCATCAAAATAAAACAATAATTAATATATGTATATAGTACTTGTTTGATAATCATCATAATAAGTATAATTATAATAGTTAACATCGCACAATAGCGTAATTTAAATTTCTTTAAGAAATATATATATTACATATATATAGCTGTGTATAATCTTTTTTGTTTTATCTATAATTTTTTTAGAATATATACATATACATATATATATATATATATATCCATATATATTTATATGTTTATATACATATATATATATATATATATATATATATCCATATATATTTATATGTATATACATATATGTATATATATATATATATTTCCTAAAGTATACATACACACAACATACATACATACATACATACATATCTATAAATAAATATATATATATATGTATAATACATAATAAATTATATATTATATATATGTGTAGAAATTATATATGCTGGCATTACATTTATTAGGTTTGGTTAGTATCTTCTAAAATCTTTCATTCAGATAGTTGGTGGTAATTGAAGGCATCTTCACAATCACATTGCCCTACCTGAATATAATTCTAGGTAAATTTGTCACCAGTAAAAATTATAGTTGCTTGCAAGCACACGCTGCTTATATAAGATGGCAATGATGATGGCGAGGGCAATAACTACAAACAATAACAGTAAGTTTTGCTATTACAACTAAAGGAAGTTCAAAAACGATCCTCTGCGCTTTTAGTTTAAAAATTGTATAGAAAAAATATATATCTCATCTTGATATAAATTTCAATCTAAAAAATTTAATACATTACTTTTAATTATTTAATTTTTACATAATTAATAAAAACCTTAAAAAACAGAAATGGTTATTATGGTAAAATCAACTCGCCCGCTAATTGAGAGAACGAAAATTAACCCGGAAAATATTACAGATTATCACTTTCAAAAGGAAAATTGCAAACGTAGCTACATACTGAAACTTAAGTTTTCATGAACGTATAAGTAATTAATTGAATGTAGTCGTGTTAATGTCTGTCTGCATAAATATTACTGGATATGTATGATTAAATGTCGACTCTTTGATAGTTTACCTTTCATTGTTTCATATTGCGATATCAGTTAATCAATCTTGGTAACATTATCATCTGCACAGGGCCAGATTTTGTCTACTATTTCGGTAATACGTGCATCTAACTCAGAGTCGCGCATTATAGTCCTATCGTAGTTTTCCTCCATTTGTTGTGTTGTTCGCTGATGCGGCTCCTGCTGCTGTTGTTGTTGCTGTTGTTGATTAAGCTGTCTGTGCTGCCGATCATCAATAAAAGATGTTGCTTGTGATATTGTAGCTGTACTTAAATTTGAAGATTTTGAATACGATATATCATCGCCCCAAAAATTATTTAAATTTAAACTCATCGTTGATTGTTTCGAGTTATTTGAGTTATTCCATATATGATCATCATTAACCACGGAAGTCTTCGACAAACGGAGCAATAATAAAATTTAAAAGAAAGAATAACATACATAAAGCATGAGAATATAGTGAATGAATAATATTAATTATAGTGATACTTATTAAGTAATTTCAAAGTGATAGTTTGAGTCTTAACCTATAGATTAGCCTCTTTGGGCTAACCGATCGGCTCGTTATCAAACCATATAAACTAGATTGAGAAAAATATAATAACAAAGAAATAAAATTACGAAGATAAACAACCAATGCCAATTTGCCAGTTGAAAAGATGAATCTTCAATTAAACCCAAAGGATCGTCAATAAAGAAAATTAAGATACTTTGAGATCTCATTTTAGTTCGAATTGCTGCTTTAGAAGGCAGCTTACCGTACATTTCGGCGACAGTCACATTTTTAAAGAAAAAGCAAACTAGAATGTTTTATGCCGAGCAAACCATTATTTTTCTATATATGAGTGCATGTAACTTGTAATAATCAGCCATTGCCATTTACATAAAGCACAATGGCTTTTCTTATAAGAAAGTTGCGAAATGCGTAGAAAGTTCGATCAAGTCGGCTGCTCTATAAATGATAGAAGTTCCGCACCCAAATAAAATGCAAATCAAATAGTGAAGTCATTTCACTAAGGCATTCATGATCTTCAAGTATAAGATGTGAGTTTGTAAGCATAACTACAAAAAATTTAATACCAACTTAACTACGGGTGGACAGACAGACCGCAACGGTGGTGGTGGTTGCGCTATTGTTAATGGAAACGGTTGGCTGTAACTAATATCGTAGCTAATATCGTAATCTACATGCACTTACCTTTTCCAAATCCGCACTAAAACTCTTGGAGCCTAGGATATTGCTTAGCGGATTGAGATCAAATTTAAAATTATTTAAATTGCCTCCGACCGTTAGATCGTTGACGTTCACGGCATTGGCAGGGAGAACGTTCGAATTGAAATTTAACGATAGCTTCGAGAGGGCAGCTTGCATGCTATTAAAATTACCAAATGTCGAATGTGGGTGTGAAACATTATTAGAGGAATCAGTCATCGGGTGCGCCATTGACATTGCCAGCGTGTTATCATTATCCATAGAAAACATGGAGAAGTTCGACTCGGCCATATTAATGGTAGGATTCTGACTGGGCTTGTCCCAGTTATCATTAAAGGCGTTATTGATATAAGGGTTCGGGCCGGGTGTAGGTGTGAAACCTTTATACATAGGACATATGGGACCATATTTACTGCCCAAAGCAGCTGTCGTAGTGGGCACATCATAAGTGGATGCATCATCATCTAATATAGAGTCAGAGCGTACAAAACTGTCCCGGTCACGAAATAAAGATGGGGTGGATGCCTCTATGTTTACAGCATTACTTTCATTAACACCAGGAACAGAACCACTATTAAGCATTGAAGTGGCTCCCATCAGACTATTATTATTATTATTATTATTACACGGACTCCATAATATATTTTGCCCTGTTGACGTTAGTAGGTTTTCATTTAGAGAGTTTCCTGTGTGATCCATGAAATCAAGTTTCGGACTATCTTCGTTGTTATTGTTCGAACAAAAAGAACTGTTAAAAATAAAATTATCAGATAATAAGCCTGAGGAATTTTTTTCAAAAACTAGTGGTATGTCCGTAGGGGGCGGCATAAATATAAGGTGATGTTGATTCGAATTTTGGGGGTTTGAGCTTTGAATCAATTCATGTGGATTCAAAAGGGGTTGGCATTGCTGTTGAGTATTCCATAATGGGGCTGATGTAGGTGGTACTGAAGGCTTCAGTTTGGACTTTACAAATCCCAACGGAAAATCCCCGCCGAGAGGTGAACTTAGGGCTGCTGCGGTGTTGGCGTCTATAGACGTACTATTAAATAATGATGGTGAATGAGCTTTAAGCCCTATGGGTCCGACAGCATAAAAGTCGGCTGCAATTGGAGTGCTGAATAAGGATTTTTTGTTTAATGGACTTCCAAGAGATTTATTTAGATTTGTGCTTTGAACATTCGGTGGGTTAACGGCAGTCGCCATATTTGTTGATGCATTCAGCATAGGTCTGACTGAATGCATACCGCTCTGTGTCTGCCCTCTATTACTTGGAGAACGTGTGCTAGATGATACATTCATGTTCGTAGGTGGCATCCGTACAAGTTTCCCCGGATGGTTCAAGGGAGCAAATGGGACATTTTCGAAAGTTTGCACTGGCGGCATCGCGACTGAGGGCGGGAGAGGTGTCGGGTGTAAGACATTCAAAGAACTCTGCATGCTCAAAGGAGAATGAGTAGTTGAATCGCCGAAAGCTGCCTCTACGCCGCTATTTCGTACCATACAAGCTGCGTTGTCATTTACTGGAAATTGATGCAAGGGTGAATTTTTTAGCCTTATTGGTGAAGACGACGGCTCTGAACTGATCTGTATCCGCGGCAATGAACAAATGTGTGGACTCTGTGCTTGCCTGGGAGATGCAATTCGTTTTGGCTGCTGCGATTGTTGTTGAAATTCTTTATCTGTATTTTCTGTGGACTGACTAGCACTAGCTGGAATTCGGCAGACATTCTTTCCAGAAGCATTTCTTCTGTTTTTAGCGCGATACCTTTGCCGTTCCTCCGTAGAATGAGCGAAAGTACAGTTAGGACCCCGGGGGCAAACACGTTTTTTTTGTGAGGTCACGGCATAAACTAATTTTATACTTTGCATTAGCATTAGCTGACGTTACTGAGTAATCTTGAGCTTTTCGATTGCTGTGAAATTGCACAAATTTTACCAAGCCTAATACCACATGACGCACTGCATCGAGAGCATTTTCAACGTCTTGCCATGAAGGTGGAGGGCTCTCCAGGGAGGGATCAATCCCGGTGAGATGCTTAAGATGAGGACGTAAACTAAACAGATTAGTGGGATCACCCGTGCGCTGCAACGCTAAAACCAATTCTTGAACAGATTGGGCAAACGACGAGGGCGATTGCAATGTATCGCATATACTCTGCATATGTGATTTGTGGGCTGTGTTTCCATATAACAATGAAGACCATTGATCTGGAGCTATCCGCAATCCGGCCTCAGTCGCGATCTGTACGATTTGAGCATCGTGCTCGCGGCGCAGAGCTTCATAATTGCGAAATTCTTCCTTCAATTGCATTAATGATGAATCCCCTTCGCGTTTTGATACTTTAAAACAACTGGCACGATATAAAAGTTGTACCACATGCCCAATACTTGTTTTGGAGGCTGGGAGGAAGTTTTCGACCAAACGCTGAACTACATACATTACTAAAACTTTGCGAGATAAAGCTGAACCATTTTCCAAAGCCTGCAGTACCAGTTTTAAGACTTCTTCTTGCATAGCCGGACCCAAAAATTGGCATCCCCGTGAACGTACTGCAGCCCACAGATATAAACTCAACTGCTGAGGATTTTGGTGTTGTAACAATAACTCAGTCACCGTGCGTTCACCTAAAAGACGCGCTGTTCTTACAGCGCGCGTTCGTCCCTCCTCTTCCATGAGTTGACAATTTACTAAAGTGACCAATTTGCGTAGCATCGGTCGAGTTAACAAACTGCCGCTGTTGGCAACAAATGACTTGAGGTATTGGGCAAGTTCTTCTATACATTTTTGAGCCGATTTGTAACACTTTAAATCCTCTGAACTTAGCTTTCGAACACTAAGTGGCATATGCTTATCACATAGAACGGTATTACCGTCGCCATTGTGGTTTTCATTATTATTATTATTACTGGTTAATTTTGGGTTAACAGAACAGTCGTTATCGTTCCCATACTTTTTTGAATTTCCCGATTCCAATAATTGTAAAAGAGCATTATTTATAGGTAGATTGTCCACCTCAGTTGTTATTGAAGTCTACCAACAGAAAAATTTGCTTAAAGATACGCAAATTAAAGGCTAAATCTACACATACCTGATCAAAGGGACACTGACGATTGTACACAGTAGCAAGGCAGACTCGACATATTGTATGACCGCAACCCAAACTTACTGGCTGACGTTGATTAACTGAAAATTCATTACCACAGATTGGACAGGTATAGAATTCTGTCCACGACGGTGCCTGAAACGGCATTCTAGAAAAATGTACAAGAGAAACAAAAACTTACTATTTCGCACTTACATCAGTTCAATCTATGGAAGCAATTTGGCCAAAATAATATATTATTTATCGCAAAAATCGAGAAAAACACATATTGCTTGTGAGGACTTTTTGTAAGATTTCTCTAAACGCACCATGGCCACAACGCAAAGATCTATATAAAGTCGACGTGTTCGCAATTTTTGAAAACGTACAACATAGCAACAAGAAATGAATAAATATTTTTTTTTTACTCATGTGAAGCTTAATCAATAGAGTTTACTCTATAAAACCCTCGAACTTGGAGCACAGCAACCCACGATTTGTTTTATGACATATATTATTACCTAATTTCTTTAATGGAACTATTATTTTAACTATATATGTATATATATATATATATATATATACAGTGAGTCTCATTAATATTGTTAAACTTGGTCCATTGTCCAAGCATAAAAATTTTTTTTACTATTTTTCACTTCTAGGGAAAACGTACAAATATATAAAAAAAAAAAGAAAATTATTCCAGTAGACAAGAAAATTAATATTGGGTTTTTTCATATAAGGATGTATATGAAGATAAAATACAGAATATTTCAAAAATTAATATTTGATGGGGTATCTGTTCTGTTTAATAACGTCATTTAAACATTTTCACATATTTTGTGTAATTTCTCTTGTTCTGGAAACAGAGCTCTTACTCCATTCTTCTGGTAGTCTATTTTTCAGATCTTGGACGGATTCCACACACGGCGGTCTAATTAATCTCTCATATTTTTGATAGAGTTCATGGTTAACGATTGGGGAAAAGGGTCAAGCACTGTGGAACAGTTATATAAAAGCCATTCTTGATTTAAGCGGAATTTGGGGTCGTTGTCTTGGTTGAATTTGAATGTTTCCAGAATACCAAGTTTGTGCGTAGTTTCTTCCAAATTTGCCGTCAATGTCCTTAAATAACCTTCCTTGTTTGCACAAACACCAATTTTCCGACTCCATTGGCCCAGTGCATACCGAACTATAACATGACCATTGTCTTGCTCGCCGTAAGCCGTTATATTTCCTCTCATCAGTAAATACAACGGAAAAAATGGACTTGCACACATGTTTTCCCTGTCTTAACTTCCTACCACGTTCTTGTAGCAGCGGTTTACGGCGAGCATGGCAATGGTCATGTTGTAGTTTGGTATATATTGGACGAATGGAGTCGGGAAATTGGTGTTTATGGATGGCATTGTAAACAAGTAGGATTTTTTAAGGGTATTGAAAGAAAATTTGAAAGATAGGGGGGACAAATTTGGTATTTTGGAAATATTCAAATTCTGCCAAGGCAACTACCTCAAGCCTAAGTCCCTCTTAATTCAAGAACGGCTCTTATATAAATGCTTCAGAGGGCTTCACCCTGTCCCCAATCACCAGGAACGAACCAAACCAATAATATGTGGGATGAATTGGACCACCAACTACGAAAACACCCAATCCCTTCCATCCAAGATCTGAAAAACAGACTATAAGTGGAATGGAGTAAGATGCCTGTTTCTCACACAAGAAAAATTATACAAAACATGTCAAAACGTTTAAATGCCGTTATTAAACAAAAAGGATAACCCAAACATTAATTTTTAATAAGATGATGTTTTTTATCTTCGTATCCTTCTTCATATGAACAAAACCTAATATTAATAACGCTATGTTTTTTGAATTACTAAAGCTATTTAATTTTCTTGTCTACTGAAATAACATTTTGCTTTTCCCTAGTAGTACAAAATAGTAAAAAAATTTTTATGTTTGGGAATGGACTAGGTTTAACAAGCGTTTACTTTTTGTCGAGCGAAAAAGCCCAATATTAATGAGATTCACTGCATTTATACATATACATTGCTTAGGAGTACTCATGTCCTTTAAACTCTAAAAAGGTAAGTTCTTCATTAATTTACAAATTTCGGAGCTATAATGTGCGCAAACGTGCAAGTGCACGCTCCCCCTATTTTCAATTCACTTTGCGAGTCTCAAAAGTTTGATTTTTGTCAGGATTTTATAAAAGCTTTTCAACATTTGACCGATATTCAAGCTAACGTAGTATGAAAGTAACAAGCAATACAAACAAGTGCAAAGCGCCCAGCTGATTGCGAAAGAAATTTGATTTCTATATGTACACAAAAATATAAATTTTTTCGCAATATATATATATATATATATGTGTGTATATATATTAATAAAATAGAAGCTATTTAAGAAGCTAACGTTTGTGTGTCATCAGAAAATAAAAAGAATTTATACGCAAAATTATTAAAACAAATACGGATGGTTAAAACCCACACCCTACGATTTTTATAGCTAATTTGGCCGCATTAAAAAGATAGGAAGGAAATAAATGCTAAATAGATGTTGTTAAAGGCAACCTAGCTGCTCATGCTTCTAGATAAAAATCATGAATAATTCATTATTAAAATTTGACAGTAATTCGCATTTCTGTTCAGATGTAGACGGTTTGAGATTTTATCTCTCAAATTCGCTTCAAGTTGTATTGACATGTAAAACTTGTTTGAATTTCGCAAGCTATCACTTAATTATAGACAAAGTAAGAATTGAAAGATTCAGTTTTATACAATTCCCTCCAATGTTAGTAACAAAGAAAAGCTAAAAATGAGAGGATTCTATTCCATTTTTCTAATGTTATAAGCAAAGAACAGCTGAAAAAACGGAATGTTACTACATTTAATCAAATGTTGTAAACAAAGAACAGCTGAAAGTGAAATTTTATACCATTTTCTTTAATATTGTAAATAATAAACAACCAAGGAATACTATACATTTTAATTAGGTAATGAAATGCAAATGACTTTTCAGCCGCATGTCTTATCCTGTTCTTATCATAAATTCTTTCATACGCACAAATTTTTTGATGCTGAGTGCTTCGTCTACTTTTGGACTCCAATATTTTTTATTTATCTTCTTAAGTCTTACCAAATATATTTTGAGGATATTCCAATTTTAATTCCTTACAAAGTCATTAATTTTGAATTTGTTTTTTTCACCAACCAATATCCTTCTTCCAAATTAATTTTTATATAAAGGAAAAGAGAAAAAAAGGGAGAAAGCATAAATATTCATCTGGTGAATAAAGATTTTCCGTACATATCTTGAATATAAAGATATGTTACGTTTCACTCTTGTGTTCCCCTTTAGGTAAAAAAACTCGTCACCAGAAAAAAGTACGAAAATTATTTTACACACAATCACACACACCTTCAAAATGCACATATTATTCTATATCTTCCAAATTGTTTATTATTAAGCGGGCTACCTTTAAATGCTTTCTTCGTTATTTTATCACTTTAAAGTAATTTTAAATTGCCTATAAATTCAATTAATACAAAAGAAATCTCTAAAAAATTAAAACTTCAAATGAAAAGTTTTCGTCAATTATGTACTTTTTTCGAGAAACTAAAAATTATCGATAACTGGGTAGCACTGAGTACATTCACTCAGTCACTTTTAAAGCTAATATCACATACGACTTATCGTCTCTTGCAATCTCTGCATTAATTATTTTAGATTTAATAATTTCATTTAAAAGCACTATCCATAACGTTTGTAAGGTTGTCTGTCACAGAAATGTTATATAGGACTTACTTTATAAAATATTTTTTGCAATTAATAGAAATTTCCCATTTTCATTATGTTTTAGTAAGAATAAAGCCTAAAATAACAACAGGGTCCAATAAAACATTCAATTTTATTCTATTTAAGGTTAGAGTATTAAATTTAAAGGCTAAACGGTATCTATAATAATTCGTTAATAAAAGAAAAGGCGAAATGTTTCATAATTTCGAAAATATTTTATTATGCGTTCAAGCTTGAGATCCCTACCTTGTTTTTTTTAATTATTTTCATTTTCTTCTATTTATTATTCATTAAAATTTTACTTTTGTAACGTAAAATTTTGATAAATATGCGAGAAGTAATTATTGCTTTATATTTCTTTATTAATGTTAACAATATAACAATTGCATCATATTTTCGAGCTGTAGAGTCGAGCATTAAAACTCACACAAACTGTTTCAAAGCCGTTGTTTTTATGAATCGAAATCAGATATTTTTCAATAAAACCTTTAGTTTTTTACCCGCCTGGGTAAGTGATTTGAATTAAAGTTATTTGAACCAATTAATTTCTAGTTTGATTAAATTTTCCACATACATCAAGGAGGTGAAAAATTGAAGGTAGAACTTTTATTATGAAAAGGAATTTTGCAGATTCTAAGAAGATTCTCTACGCTAGATAAGATATTTCGTTTCGATTTCAATATTCAGCAAAATCCCGATGTTAAAACGACGATAACTTTTAAAATAATTTAAATAAGTCTGCAAGCTATAACGAAACTTTGTTCAAGACATAAGGTATTCTAAGGTGAATAAAGGTAGAACACTCACACGTTATTTCCACTGGCTAAAAAACAAATAGTAATACATGGTGGAGACTCGTAATGAAATCTTTTTCTGTATTTGTTGTAGTTTTCTATGAACAATTTTTCCCACGGTAAGGGGCTGAAAATGAGACGTCATTTTCCTTTTCGGGTTAAAAACTCTCCAGCGGTAAACATAATGAGAAGCCATGCCACCTTATCGTTTTGCAAATGTAAACAAAAATACATGGTTTTAGAAACAAAAATAAAAAAGTAAACATAAATATAAACAACAAATTTATAAAAAAAATAATTTATTAATTTTCATAATCTACTTAAATTTTATCACACTGTCGTAAATGGTCGTTATTGCTTGTTTTCAATTTCTTATAATATATTCAATCTTAACAAATTCCGTGACTTGAAATAAGACATGTTTTTTTTTTTTTTGTATGTTGAACAGAGATGGACTAAGCCAATAGATTTGTGGCTTATATGTCCAGATAATAAAAATAAGACATGTTGTGCAAATTATAACAAACTTTAAGTGCATCTCGAATTTTTATGGCTTATCATATAAATATAAACAGCTGCAAAAGTCTTGTTCGACTTGTAGATTTTTTTTTTTCCACTATGAACGGTCAGTCAGGGGATGTCCTTTATTCGTGTAACAGGCTGACGATCAGAAAGAAGACAGGAAACAGAGAAAATAGGGAGGTGGTGGATGCAGCCTGGTAGTTGTGAGTCCAATCGATAAGTATTATATCTTTATCGACTGAGCATTCACTATAGCTAGGACCTGCTATGTAAAAATGCATGCAAATCGTCCTTAGACCATTGGCCGAAATTTTGGAAATCTTTTGAACTTAAAAAAAAGGATAAGAGTTTGGATAAACCCTTTACTGCAAGAGATGAAGGCCTGTATTTTGTTAATGACCTGTCAGGCAATTGGTAGGAGAGCTCTTTATTTTGAAAAATCTTGGGTTAAAGGAAAAATCCAGCTCAAGTGAGTTTCTACAAAAGAGAAAGTTGAATGATGGTGTATGCAGTCGGCATTTTAAAGAGGCATATTTTACTACAGGCAAATTCAACTGAATTAATTTCCTGCACAATATGTTTATATGATATTGTATCTAGAGCAGAGACACTTGCAAACGGAAATTTTTTATATGAAAACTTTATCTAATTAAAAAAAGTATCTCTATATTCTTATAGAAAATTTCCGCTTAAATTTGTTAAAGCGTTTAGGGAACATAATATATAAAATTCCTCAACATGAAATAAACGATGAAACAAAAACAAGCTTTCTATCTATCCTTCATTGTTTTTCCTACATGTGCAATTATGTTTACACTGTATATACTTAAAAACACAATGTGACTGCATATCAGGAAACCAACAAACAATTAAATGCTAACAAGCTAATGAGACCTACTACTCCTACGAAAAGTTCGTGAGAGTTTATATTTTCTTATTAAAAATTTCCAAACATTAAATTTGAAATTGGTTTATTACGATTAATAAAGTCAGAAAACCTTATCATAGAATCGATAATTTTGATGTATACCGTCATAATAAAAATTTAAAGAAAGTGTCACATGTTATTAAGGTCTGTTCGTTTTTTGGGAAAAGGAACGATTCCGATAAATCCTCTAATCTTACCTTGCGGACCAACACATAATAGCGGTATGCAATCAATCTTATCATATCGAAATTTGATGCCGACACTACCTGCAGGTGTGGGATTTTTTTATCAACTACAGTTAGGAGTACGTCGGAAGAAAATTCCTTGCCTGACGCATTCGTTTTGTGTGCAAAGAGCGGCGGAGTATATGCGGACCAATATCCATGATTTCCAAGCACATTATTGACAATAACCGTCGACAAATTTTTGAGTAGCCAGGTCTGTTGATCCCATAAATGGTTATAACTACCGATATTATATAAATTATTATTAATCTGAACATATAAGCCTTACATCTTATTGGCTTTGACCATGCTTAGTCTCTATACCAAAACAAGGATGGTCTTCGTTCGGTCGCAGTGTTGGTATTGTAAAATTACTTTTTAATTTCATCCAAACCAATGTAAGGTAGTGGCTCGACTAAAAGTCCTACAAGATTTCCGGTTGAAAGAGTTTAAATGAACTGTAGCCATCTTGTCCCTCTTGAGGGCAATATGAAAAATTTCTATGAAAAGAAACCTTGGACAGGGTAGGCGATAACAACTCACACATAATCTTCTTGCTTTAAGGAATGATGGTAGAATGGTCTGGATTGTTGAGTAGGTACACATTTGAAAAGGACACTAAGGGAACACGTATATTATTGACGTCTATTGCTAACTAAGACTTCCCATATTCATGCGGCAGGGAAAGCCCTGCCACAATAACAATATTACAGTCTAAATTGTCCTTTTAATTACCAATATGTTAAGATCATCTTTAAATAGTTGAAAATTAACACCACTCTTGATCAGAATACATTTGACTTTTTAAATCGTATATTCTGCCTGCTTCGATTTTTTATTTAAAGCAACTGTTTCGCCAATACTGTAATAAAAAATGTCTCTTCATTTCGAAAAGTTCACTGAATACTTCCTTTAAGAATATTACTACTACTAAATCTCCCACGATATTCGAAACTCTTAAAAGCGTTCAATAATAAAGGCAATTTATGAAAGGTTGTAAAGCAATTTTCTTTTTAATATGTTAAAAGTGGGTTCCATGAGCACGTGCTCACATGCCTTGCTAAATACTAATTTATGTTACCTCGAGCCATCTTTATTATTAGTTTAAAAAGCATCAAAAGGCTCGAATCAATATGTCTACTTGAGAGTCTTACTTCGTAACCATTTGACTACGATGCACCAACAGTTATAAAAAATTCGTATCCTCGGTCAGCATGAGTTTTCAAACGATTTCGTGAGATCCTTTGATCTAAATAATTTGCCGATTGTCGCATCCTCTTTAATGCCGCTAATTACTAAAATAGAGGACAACAATTCCTCGTTAGCTTAGAACATAAAAAAAATATTCAGAATTTATTTAAATTGTGTATTTTTATACTCTCCATCACTTGCGAAAGAGCTTGAGATAGACCCAGATTTTACTACACTTTGTTTTTGCTTGAAGTTTGTCTGCCCCTCTGTTTGTCTTGTTTTTTCTGTTCAACCTGCAGGCTGCAATTTTTGAGATATTTCGATGAAATTTGATACTCCGCGTGTTTTAGCCCAAGGACGAACACTGTCGACAATGTCATGTTGGACCTCTTTTTCGACCATTTACCATTCAACTTCTTAAATTTAGTTTACATGAATAATGCTAGGTTGATGTATGGTCTTTAGTGATAAACCATGGCTCACTATATATGTAATGTGTTTGCTTGTTTAGTATGAATGTGACCTTTAAGCTTATCAAACAGCAAAATTAGATAACTTTGAAGATATGGATATTAAGGACGTTATTCGAACAATAAGTGAAAAATGGAAAACGCCTATGCCTAATAGCTAAACAAATACGCAATTGGAATCCATAATATCTTATCAACCTGCACAGTCATACTATGACCTTGACTCTCCGATGAAAACCAATCAATTCGAAAAATCCTTGGGTTTCTTAACGCTATGTTGTACTTTATTTAAAACGATGAACGACAATATTGTATTTTTACGTCTCAGTATATGAATATCGAAAGTGTTAATCAACAGTATGTAATTTAAAGAAAAAATATTTTCTTTAGCTTTCAAGAATATTTTGTAAGACAAACCACTAGTGATTATCGAAAAAGTCCATTTAAACCAAATACAATTTTTACTTTTACGCCCACCTAAGAACGTTTTTCATTTTATTTTGTTTTATTATCTTGCCTAACAAATCGTTTCCCTTTTTTGTTTTTAGACACAATATTCATGTATTAGACGTTAAAGCACTAGGAACTCATTTATTCGGTTTCATTTATTTATTTATTTAGAAATAGACAACATGAATAAAAAAAATTAATTCACAAAAATATTCAACGTTTTCAAGATATACATTCAATTTGTGTATATAATTCCATATTATGTATATAAATGTATATTGAAGACAAATTAGAGCCGTAGATTTGTATTTTGTATGTATTTTCGACTTTTTTTCTCTCGATTTGTTTGACTTTATAAAAAAATGGTTTTATTAAAAAAACCAAAACAATGTAAAATAGCATAAAAAGTATAGCTACTTAAAGGTTAAATCAGAAATGAATAAATGTTTTTCTTGCAGTCAAAATTGAAAATTATTATTTTTCTTTCGTTTTATAAATACATGCAAAAATGGCTGGCTGTTACAAACTGTGTCGGTTTTGTAACAATTTTTCTAATGTCCAATAAACACACAGTGGTGATGCGATTTATGCTAGCGTAGAACATATAAATTTAAGTTAACATTTGGATGCAGGCATCACATAAGCGTTTCCAAGCTTGCATCTTTTGCTTATTAACTAAAAACCTCGTATTAAAAGAGAGAAAAGGAAATATGTTTTAACTTGGAATTTGCAAAACTTGTATCATACACCTACGCATGGGATTTGACGTACACTTTTACATACAGGAATTAACATTAAATGAATGTGTAGTGTGTGCGCGTTTAATTTAATTTGTGCCCATTTTGACATCAGCTCCATAAGTAGAAGCCTTGCTAATTTTTGACATATTAATTGCCTTTACCATGAACAAGTAGACTGCAAACGGAATGAAAAACACAAAAAAAGTACATTATTTTAACATTTGTTGTTCTCTTCATTTTATATGTGTACAACTACGTACAAGTGGTCAAAATGCCTATGGCAGTTGATAGTCCAAGCCAATTTTGAGCCAGTAACGATGAAATCAAATAGTGTAGTACCATCGAGACTGAGATAAAAGCCCAAACGGCGAAGTTAATTAGGGAACATAAACGACCGCTGTACATTTTATATGGAACTTCTTTTACGGCAGAGGTCTTGAAAAAACTGCCGGTTGTATGAAAGCTATCGATGATTTGATCTTTTTCACGAAACAACTCGTGTAACCATTCTGTGGCTTCCTCTTCGTTTCCCGGTACCTTCTCCATAGGAATACGCCTCACCAGCATATACGGCTCAACAGGCTTACCATTTAGTAAAGTAGATATTGTCGGTGAGTTCTATAAAGCACACATAAAAAAATGGTATACATATACATATATATTTATATATATGAGTCATACAAATTAAATTAAATATACTTTAGCATCATTTTTGAAAACCAGATTAATGTCGTAAATTGCCGGACATCTACCACGTAAGCTAGATAAACTGGCAGTGAAACCTTTCGTTCGAGGTATCAAATGATGTTTGAGCACCGGCAAGCCGCGTTCTTGGGCAAATTTAAGTGAAGCCTCGTGTTTCTTGGGGGTGAAACGCGTTCCCTCAGCATTCAGTAACAGCCAAGTGGGGTCAGGATAGGCGAAAACTTCTTTTAACTGATGGCTTATAATTTGCCTATCTTTGTCGTAAGCCCTTTCCAAGAAAACAAACTCAGCGAATTTCCAACACCAGCCAATAACAGGGATGTAGGCAATCACCTTTTTCGCATATGCTTTGCAATTTCCCAAAACTCCCATTTTCTCAGTAAACATCCAACCAGCGAGCCAATCAATTTCATATGAATGATTCATAATAAGCAAAACATGTTCCTTACCGCCATATTGTGCTAAATCATCAGCATCCATATAAACTTTTATGGAACTGTTTGAATACCAGTCACTTATAAAAATTAACTCTGTGGAATACCATAAACACAGGAATTAGAGAAATTATTCTTCAGTCTTAAAGTAATACGAAAACTTACGTGAATACAATGAGTAGCATAAATAGTACATTATCTTACGGAAGAGCCATATATTGATTGGTTTTAGCGTTAACGTCAAAATTAATTGTGCGAAATTTATAACCAAGCCTGATGTAAAAAAAGTTATTGCTATACATAAATGTATCAGTCTCTGTTGTTTTAATTTCTGCAGCGAAAACATCTTCCAATATGGACTATATTTTTATATCTAGTCTGTTACGAAAAAAAAAATTTTAACTACTATAATACATTATTAACATAGGGTATGTATACATGTATATATTAGTTTGGGGAAAAAGAAATCCATTATTTTTTCGGTAGATGGCTGCACTGATAGATTTCTCGTAAAGTATCGATCAAACAATTTCATATTTATGCTCGTTGGAAAGGTGACATTTCGCAGTAAAAAAAATTCTTTTGCTGTTTTTTGTTTGGTGCATTCAGTTGTGAGTTACAGCGTGTTAAAAATGGAAGTGAACAAAGAGAAAATTCGGTACATTTTGCAGTTTTTCTTTGACAAAGGCGAAAATGCAAGCCAGGCGGCTAAAATTGTGAATGGTGTTTATGGTTCCGATACTGTAACAGCCAATTATGTGCAATTTTGGTTTCGTAGATTCCGTTCCAGTCGTAACATCGCCCAAGAGCTAAAAATCGACCATAAAACAGTTTTAAACCATTTACACAGAGCTGGATTCAAAAAGGAGCTCGATGTTTGGGTGCCACACCGATTAACAGAAAAAAACATGACGGATCGGATTTCCATCTGCGAAACCTTGGCCAAACGGAATGAGATAGACCCATTTCTTAAACGGATGGTGACTGGAGATGAGAAATGGATCACATACGATAACCCTGTGCGAAAACGATCGTGGTCAAAGAGCGGTGAAGCACCTCAAACGGCCAGGAAGGTTTTGCTATGCATTTGGTGGGACTGAAAGGGGATTATTTATTATGAGTTGCTTCCATATGGCCAAACGCTAAATTCTGATCTCTACTGTCAACAACTGGACCGTTTGAAGATAGCGATTGACCAGAAACGGCCAGAACAGGCCAACAGGAGAGGTGTCGTGTTCCACAAGGACAACCCTAGGCCACACACATCTACAGTGACTCGCCAGAAACTTCGGGAGCTTGGTTGGGAAGTTTTAATGCATCCGCCATACAGTCCCGACTTGGCATCAAGCGATTATCATCTTTTTCTTGTATTGCAAAATTTCTTTAATGGTAAAAAATTGGAATCTAGGAAGCATTGTGAAAATCGACTACTAGAGTTTTTTGCAAATAGAGACCCGGACTTCTATGAGAGAGGCATTTTGAAGTTACCTTTAAAATGTCAACAAATCATACAACAAAACGGTGCATATTTGACCCAAATCGGACAATCCGAAGCATGTTAAATAAAGTTCTGAAATTCATATAAAAATAATGGATTTCTTTTTCCCCAAACTAATATATATATATCCTTTTATCTTTTACGTGCACAGTTGTGACCGAAGAAAAAGGTCGGAGAATTATAAATGGTTTGCCTTCTAATCAGTCACAGTCAATTTTGTGTTAAATTTCTTACAGATATATATCATCGCATATGCGATCGACTTATTGCAATTTTAATAAGCAAGAGCAATAATTTTGCTGTTTTTGTCATAGATTTCTTAATTATCGATTAATTACCGGTAAATCTCTTTACAATTCAACAAAATTTTGAATTACGCAAATATAAGCGTTTGTATAAAAATTGAACTTTATACTATTAGCATTTTGAAACTGACGCCTCTAAGTTGCCAATGATATCGATGGTGATTGTGTATTCAACAAACGAAGAAAATCATAGTTACATGTGTCAATGAGGACGACTTTATAATTATTCAAATTGAAAATTTCATTGATAAGATTGTTCTAGATTTTAGTTTATATGGTTAAGATTTTAGTTAAATAAATTAATCAATTAAATAAATCATTAGTTGAACTTGCTTCTACATACGGCGCATGTCATTAAATATAGAGCAGACTCTTTTATTACTTGTGAAAACCACAGTCTAACAGGCTCGATCAAATCGACACGAAATTTGTCCAAGCTTGACCTTTCGAGGCACCAAAATTGCAAAAACAGACACAGATTCATTTGAATAGAAATCGGCTGTTATAATTTTATACATTTTTTATGAACGTGGCCGTTGTGTACATGTCGGGATAACTAATATATGCAAACACATTAAAGATTTTTCATAGAAAAAATGAATTATTTATCGTCACCAGTGCTACGTTAAGGAACGTGACATATATATTCTTAAACTGTTTAGGAATACACATACATACGCACATAGAATTTGATTTAGTAATCGTTGGTTATTCGTCAATTGAATATTTTCGATTTATGCACATGTAAATCTCGTTTCCAAAACACATACAATACAGACACATATGCATATATGTACATATGCATAATATCATATCATATAGCAGCTGTTCTTATCTTTCTCCGAACTTGATCACATCATTTGCTATTGGTTAAAACGTATAAACATATTAACAGTGCGAAATTCGTCACGATCTAATTTACAATTGCTTGGTTTCTATTATATAAAATCGTACACAATAACTATTATTATTATTATTAGTATAAATTTAGCCAGAGAATAAATTCTTAGACTAATGTCTTAAAGCACTAGCATCTAAGGCTTTCGGCTTTATTAAAAACTCTATCGCACTTGAAATTTGAACCCACGACAATTGAGTTGCTAGTCGAGACTCTTGCCTACTCGGCCAATCAGGCGGATTACACAATAACTAAAGCCATTTAGTTATATGGATTTATATGTAAATAAATAGGCATATCTTGTCTATTCGAATACAATTTTAATGAAAATAGTCGACTTTGTATGGTTATGGTATATCTCACCTTCAACCAAATTTCCAGTAATGTTAGTCAATGATGATATATGAATAAAATTTCTACTTTCCGTGTATATTCGTGGATTTACTCTTAAGCAATAAATCAGATAATATTTTTTTTTTTTTGTTAAATTTATCATGTATAACAACAAACAAACAATGTTCACTATCAATAACTTTTTACAGTTTTCACAACTGACAACATAATCAAAGTTGCCGTAAAGTAAAAATTTTTACATTGATCTATTTTACCGAACACTTTCAGAAATCAAATTGAATTCTTATATTGTTCAGGAATTAAAAATGCAAAATCAATCACTGCAACCTGTTGTTGAATATAAAAAAAATAATAATTTCTATTGTCAAAAAAAAAAAACAGAAGTTAAAATATTTTTCGATTACAATAATCCCTCAACTTTTGCTTTATCGACCTATGGTAATCCTGTCATTACGTTTACACTAAATGAACCCACCATCAGTATCATGAATATCCTTACATAGAACTTCCGGAGAAAAGTTGTTAGAGGTTTGTTTATGGGCTCAATATATTCAAATAGTTTTTTCTTGCTTTGCAAAAATTTTTCGCGAGCAGAAATCCTGAACGTATTTATCATATCCATCTGAGAAAATAGCGATTGCGATCTATTAGCAATGATTGCGGGCGGGTCACCTCTGTAACTACTGATTTGACTTATGAATTTTGGTGTGCACGACTTAGCTCTATTAATATTAGTTTATAAAGCATTAAGAGAGTCGAATATGGCTATGTGGCCAGTTGGACTTTCTAATCATTTGACAATGAGAGAACATTGTAAAAGTATTTGTAGCTGTGGTCTGCGCGATTTTTTTTAACGATTTAATGAGATTATTTGGCTTCTAAATAATTTTCTGATAATCGCATTCGCCTTAATTATTAAAATAGAGGACAACAACTGTTATCTACACAACATTTTTTCGAGTTCTTCATTTTTATACTCTGCACCACTTGTGATATAAGCATGCAAAGCATCAAATGGTGCGATATTTATATTGCTTTGGACATTAGTATATCATCATCTAAAAAGTGACAGTAAAGTAATTAAAAAACAACTATGTAAAATGCGATTCTTTTTTCTAAATGAAGTATTTTTCCAATCCCCATTAAATTCGTCATAATAAGTACAAAAAATTGAACACGTGAGTGTTACGATAAACAAAGAAACTTATATATACATACTCTAGATACTATATATATAATATATACTTTATCATTATATATATTATTTATGTTTCATTAACATTCCAAGAAACATCACGCATAATAGTTTTTGAGATTTTGGATTAAAGCCACTACGAAGTAGATTAAAATTTCTCCGAGTTTTGGTTCTTTACACAAAAGATTATAAAAATTAATAATAGTTTGCAGTTTTTATGAGCACATTTAATTGGGAATGTGTTTGTAATTAAAATAATAAGATTTTTAATATTTTTTAAAAATATATTTTCTTTGAGGATGTGAACATTAGATTTTACTTAAATATTATTTATTACATTCCTAGAAGGTAGCTAACTTGAAATTTGGCAATACTGTAGACTATCGGCAATCGAATCAGTCAGTCATTTCATTAATTGAAGGAATTTGTGTAACGGAGTAGGATCTGGTAATTTCTATTGTCGGCTTGCAAAATTAAGTTCCAGAAAGTTTTTTGAACAAAGGTAATTTTGCGTTTTTTTTGTTTAAATTCCGTCTTAGTAAACCAGTTTTATTAATTATGCGTTAGGAAAACTACAAGTATAAAATTACCTAAACTAACTGCATATATATATGCATACCATTTTCTTGTAGGCACTATTTCGGTGGAGATCGCCATATTTGCCATATTATTGCAGATATCGCATTACGACGTGCCTGACGTGCCTGTGTCCAGCGATTAAGTAAAGTATTGACTTTGTAATTGTGTATAAAAGAATTTCTTTGGAAATTGCATCTACGCAACACGATGAAGTCAGTACCTTTGTTGAATTCTCTTTTGGTGCTTTGCTTGTTCTTAGGACTTTGTTTTGTCCCGTTTAACTGTGAAGGTAGGTGATTAATGAACACATTCATATAATTAAATACGTGGTAGTAGTGATAAATGAATTAAACGAAAATTCATTTTTCACGCACTTTTTCAACATAATGAGAGAATTTCACAATTTATGTTTCTGCTAATATTATTATAATCGATTGGTCCCAAAAAAAAAAAAATTAATTTAATAAAGCTTTAATTTTATATGCCTTCGATGCAACAATTTAGACGTACATAATTATGTTATATGCTTCAGCAGTTAATTTTCGTATATATATAATCGATATTCACACTATTATTATATATTATTGGTTCCTGCAAATTCAGGAACAGAGGCTGTGAATAAAAATGATCTAACTTCCAAAGTTAATGGCGCGACATTAGCAACTAACAAGGATAATACAGATGTCGTACTTGAGAACCCAACACCGGATAAAACTGTGACAACTCAATCTTCTAATAATGGGTCTTCAAGTGGATTTCAAACAACTCTATCCGAGACGGCAACGATTCCCTTAACGACCACAACACCCTCTAACAATTCAACAGTAACTACTTCTAGTATGCCTAATCGCACCACTTCAACAACTTCTACCACTACAGTCGCTCCAACTGCTTCTACCACCAATACTACTACTACAACTATAGCTCCTACAACATCCACAACGGCGCCGCTTACTACAACTACAGTAGTTCCGAACCCTGAACCTTGCCATCGTTTTGATGGACCATCTTTCATAGGAGGAATCGTATTAACTTTAGGTTTGTTAGCTATAGGCGTAGTCGCCTATAAATTTTACAAAGCTCGCAATGAGCGCAATTACCAAACCCTTTGAGCCGCCACTGCTTTTACATCCGCCTTTAATGAGGTCTCTAGCGCTGCATCAGCTGCCTCTAATTCAACTGGAAACGATGCTGAACGAGTTCGATTTGTGCAGCCAAGTATACCATTGCGTTCCCCACCATCGCCGCCACCACCGCCTCCACAGCAGCACCAACAGCAGCAAATAAACCAATCTTCACCTTCGGCCCATGAAAGGCTCCTACAAACGTAATTCATTTATCTAAGCATAAAGTCATAGCATCAAGTTCAATTTTTCTCAAGTATAGTCTATTCCTTAATCGTTTACCCCATGAAAGTACGTTTTGCTATAATGTCATATTTAGAAAAATATTAGGGCCTTCAAATTTGTAGTTTTTCGTTTGTATTTTCCTCTTGTCTTTTTTAATTTATTAAATACTAAAATATATTAATGACATCTTAATTTCGATATTATTATTTTGAAATGATTAAAGAGAAAGCATCTATTCGAGGAAAATAAAATTAAGACTATTAAAAACGCAACCTACAACAGTGAATGGTAAATGGAAACAAAGACGAAAATCATGCCTTTTTTTTGTGTTAAGTATAAGAAAAGGAAATATAACATGTAGTGAACTCGAGCTCGTCACATATGTGAGATAGAAAAATTGAAAAATATTCCGTTCAAGTAAAATCCAAAAAAAAGTTGAACTATATCTAGCATTTCTAAGTTTATTTGCTTTTCTAAATCAGTCAATCTAAATCGGTGGTTTTATTTAAAACTCGTGAAAAAATGTACAATTTGGCATTTTCTAGAGTTCGTAAATAACCTTCTTAATTTTCAACATCTTATTGTTATATAATGCTGTTTACCATTTAAATATTTGAAATATATAGCCAGCGTACGGACTTTATCTCTCTACGTATACAAACTACATTAAATAAAGGGAATATGCAAGCTTGCTATAACGCAACACGTATCATCATATCATCCATTTAAAAAAATTTTTTTATGTACGTATTTATTTTACACATTTTTACCTACAGATGTACGTTTGTATCTCTTCTAATTTTCCAAAGACCCATATACACATGTATTAGAATTTACAATTTCGATGCTACTACTGAATACGGTGTTTATTTAATTAGAATTATTGAAATACAATGCAATGTACAACTGCAAATATTTCAATCTCTCCCAAGAAAATAAAAAATGTACCATTTTATATGTTTGCACATCACATGCACGGTTTGTACAGGTTTTGTGCGTGACATATTATGTGGATGTTTTCATGTAAGGCTAAAAATTATATGAGTAGTTTTTAATAATAATAAACTACTTAGAATTCCGATTTTAAATTTTAATAAATATCAATATACCAACAAAAAACAACACAAGAATGCTGTATCTGATTTGTGACGAATCTTCAATTTTCAAGAAATTTGGCTGTAAACAAAGCAGTGCCAAAGCGTTGGTCTGGTCGACTTTTTGCTTTAAATATAATGACGATCCTAAAAGAATATCTAAACTCTATCTCAAATTCCCATATGTGCCAACGGCGCTGATAGATTGCTGACAATAATATATTGAATTTACAATTGTTTTGTCGATTCAGTTTTACATCTATTTTCCGTGAATCAAATTCAACTTAGGTTGCGCTGCCGAGCTGATTCAACAGTACATGTACCAACGTCGACGTGGAACAGTCCGTAATATCGGAATTCCGAGCTGATGTAATGTATATACATGCAAATAATTTGACCTTTGTGCGCAATGTTATATACTCACCCTCTGTATGTAAGCGAATCCACTACTTTCAACGACTCCAGTTACATATACATGAAACATTTTATATAATCCAATGCTATAACGTTATGTAATCAAAGTATAACACAAAACCGTACTTTACAAGTCTACACAGGAGCTTGTAGACTTGTAATTTTAAAACGTTTTTGTTTCTGCTGAACTAATTTCGCTGATTTTTTTAACCTAACATCGCATAACGTAAGTAAGGACGAAGAATTAAACATTTAATTTGGTGCTCTAAGACAGATATTGAGTTCATAATTGCGAGTTTAATATGGAGATGCTGCCAAATTGATTTTGCTCTTAATTATTTCTGATAATGTGTGCAAATGTATTTAGTTTTATAACTGATAATTCTATGGTTACATGCATGAATTATTAAATCTATTTATGCCATACTATAAACGCTTGACTTTTAACAGGTTGCTTTTAAATTCTTACAATAAGGTTTAGTATATAAATATATTAGTACGGATTATTTCTAATATTTATTCATTCCAATCATCTTCGTTGCGGCCAAGTTTATAAGTTAAGTTTGCGAGGAGTATTAAAATATTTTGCATCAAAAGGGCAACACCCTGTGCACTATCTTTTTCTGCTGCAAGTAATAAGTAGAAGGCAATCATAAGAAGCTCGCGATGTATAAATCATAACCTACAATTATTGATAAAATCATCAATCATAACCCAAACTGCAGCTATAATTGAGGCGAAGCCCATGACAAATGCAATTAAAAGCCAGATTTTTGCCACTCTTGCACCTGATTCGGAAGTATTTTCCTCGGAGATCTTTAAAATGATGCATATAAAATGTGTAATTAAGAGATAAATAAGCAAGATATTTTCGCTATAGGGCGCTTTCTGGATACCCCACCCCTCAAATAATAAGAATGAAAAAGATAAAGCTTGTGTAACTTATGGCCATGCCAATAAGTTAAACGGTAGTATATTCGTCTTGAGCTATTGCATGCCTAAGAAAAATCATATCACTTTCGAAATCGACATGTGACATAAGTTAATAAAAAAATGTTGATAACCTTCAGTTTTTTAGTCAGCGTTAAGGTATTTGTCGCATTGTGCTGAGTCTCATCTGTCAATCCTAATTCTATCTTTGAGAAATTCTGAAGGACAAACATTATTAATCCGAATCAAAAAAATAACTGTACCGCTCAAGAGCGTTCTTTATTCTTTTTTTTTTTTGACTTTGATTTTAAACCCCTTGGACTCTAAATCATTCGATCAGAAAAAAAGACGCGTTATTTCAGAAATTATAGCCGGAATATCTACATTGATATACTACCCTTATTCGTTGGTGGATACATTAAAGTTGTTAACATACGTGAGAGTTTTTCACGACATTGACCATGAAGAAGCTAATAGTACCAAAGACGCCAATAAACACCTGTCCCGTGGTAATTTGGTGTTTTTGGTCCACAGTCATAGCGTCAATAAGTGTCCACCATCCTGCGAAAAACTTTAGGGAAAAGAATGTATGCGGTAACACATTTTTATTAACATTTGCTTACAAGTAATCCAGCTATTAGTGAAGAATTTTTATTCCTGGCGGTCTCCGAAGCGAACCAGTCGCGTATGTTATCTATGAGAGTCATATTTTTGTAAACACTATACGCAAATATTACGTCGTGAAACTAATATGAAAAATAATTCACTTTGTTGACTAATAATGTGCAAAGTTATGTACTTTACCTATAGCGATCAAAAAAAACCTGCCCTGCCACCTAGTAAACATTAACTTTGTGTTATCGATAGCACCATCTCACAACTTTTTTGGGAAAAGTCATTCGCTCTTTTCTGATTCCAAACACGTGTGTAGCTTGGCTTGCCTAAGTAAAATTTAAACAATGATTAATAAAAAATCGACTAAATCTCTAATTAAGAAACCGAGAATCGACAACGATTATGATAATTTAGATGGAGCAAATAATAAGGCAGAAATTCGTAACCACTTTCACAATTCACAAGAGACCGTTGAGGACGAAGTTGAAGTAAACGGAACTAACAGCAGCACGGATGACGACGAATGTTTTGTAGGTAAAAACGATGCAGACACAGACTCGCATGAAAATCTTCAAGAAAAGAAAACTAAGGCACAAATTAGAGAAATGTTGTTGGAAAAATATAAACAACGCTACGGTATGCAATTGTTCGTACGATTCCCGCATAAGATACCAGCTACTGACGAAGAATTGCAAGTAAAAGTAAAGGAACTATCGCCTCTAATTATAAAAGCTCACAAACCTCGCCAAAAATATGCGAACTTTTGCTTAGTAGATTTTAAAAACAAAGAAGATCGCGACTTTGCTTTTAAAGCATTCCAAAAATCTATAAAGTGTGGTCAGTTGAATAAATATGTGGTTGCTATTCCTCATACGGAAAGTATGGAATTTATAAATAAACTCACTGACCGTAAAATACAAAGCAATGAAAGGAAAAAAGCAAAATGCCGTCTAAACAAAGCCACTAAAAAGTCCCAAGAGAAAAAATTCACGTCAACTGTCATCTTAACAAATTTACCGAACACAGTTACCACTGCACAACTTCGGAAAGTTTTTCCTAATGCTGTTGACATAAAGGTGAATACCAGCATAGCCAAGTTGAAGAATTCGGATAAGGTTGCTGCAATTACTTTGCCTTCGACCATTGATGCGCGTAAAATCGTAAAACAAACCATTTTCTTATCTGGTGTTAAGCTACAAATTCGATTTGACACGTATAAAGGAAAAAAAAAGTTGAATAAAGAAGGAAAGCGTGAGAAGAAAATGTTAAGTCAGCCAAAGCTATGTGGGAAAAATGTATAATTTGATAAATAAAAGAATAAAAGTACTTATTGCAGTAAGTCAAAACAACACCAGCTTTCTTATTGTAGGGAGTAAGATAGGGATTACCTTTGGCTGTCATTGATTTATCATTTTTCAGAAGTGAATTTTGAAGTATTTTCTATCTACAAATAACATGTTCATTCAATATTCATCATTAGCCGCTAACTTTTGAATGTTTCCAAATAGGTTTTGACATGCCTTGGAACACATGTTCGAGCATCGTGCTCTCTGTTCTCTTTCAATTTGGCTATTTGGCTGTTCTAATAATTCTATGACATTCATTAGACGGTGCCGATCTAAAAAAATGAACGCAGAACACTAATTTTGAATCATGAATATTTTGCTAAGCGTTGATATCGATGCCTGACTTTTTTTTATCGCAAAATTTCTTACACCGATGTATAAAATGTTCCTGCTTTTGCCTGTTTCTTTTTACGTGTTTAAGGTTCCGGTCGCATGCTTTTTAGATTCAACTTGCGTAGCACCCAATTCACCTGCTTTTAAAGAAATTGTCTCTAAAGTTCTAAAGATTTAGCGAAATATACGTTTGGCACTAGCCTTCTTACAATGATGCGTCCATATTTTTGAACCTCTTTGACGGTCTTTATCGCTTATCCTTGCCAAAACCTTTACTTTTAAGCTGTCAGTCAATATTAATAAGTTAAACTTGATAATTGAAGTTATTACTATCTATATCTAGAAAATTTGGGGACGGAGAGGATTTGAGATTTCTTCTTGTGCAAATCAACATTTTGTGTAAAAAGGTTAAATGTGAACACTAAGGGGACTAATACAATGAGGCGTCATTTTCGTTTTCAGCTTCAGAACTCGTAACTGAAAACACAATGGGCAGCTTGGTCTTTATTGCTTGTTTTTCATTTCTTAATAAATAATATGATATAGATCAAAATTGCATTAATATTAATTTTTCCGAATTTCAAATTAATTATCTTGTTTTACTTTATATTCAGATTTTCGAAGAAAATATACTTGAATTATTTCCTCTTCAAAGAAATGCAGGATGATAGAGCGCAGAGTGAATTTTGTGGTAAGAAAAGTGATGAAAAAAGTGTGTGTCTTACGAATTAGATGAAAATTTGTGACAAAATGCCTGAAAGCGCAGAAGACAATGGGAAGAAAGTGCTTTTCATATATATGTTGTTTATGTTGATTTCTTGGATTTTGTTTCTCAAACTATATTTTTTTGTTTAAATTCATATTGATTTATTTATTTGTTCTTATTCAATAGTGTGGTAAGGCGGCTTCTAATTCTGTGCCTCACTTGAAACTTGTCTACCAAAAAAATGTAATTATGGCTCATTCTCATAGTTCTCTTTGACGATAAGTTCCGATTATATATAATATTATCGATAACTTGCTTATTTTCAATCAAGTAAACCGAAGAAACGAATGACAAAACTTTATTGCTGGGGTACTGGATGAGCAGACACGAGATACGATTAGAAAAGTAAAATAGTAAAAAATTGTCTAAATATCAAAAATGGATCCAGCTTTACTAAAGGAACGAGAAGCATTTAAAAAGCGTGCCATGATTACTCCAACGTGAAAGTGTCCGCATCTTAATATAGAAAGCTTCTTAATCTTATGTTCATTTGCTTTTACAGGGTCGAAAGAAAGCCCAAGTTGGAAACCGTTTCTGTTGCTCCGAAAGATGAATGCAAGAAGAAAATGCGCCCCCCCAGTGCTCCTAAATTGGATGCCAATACGTATACATATAACACGCTTATATTTATCGTGATCTTATTTTACTATTTTGCTCAGATATAAAACTATGACTGGCAGTTCGCAATATAAATTTGGAGTTTTGGCAAAAATTGTGAAGCATATGCGAACGAGGCATCAGGAAGGCGACGACCATCCATTAACGCTCGAAGAAATTTTAGATGAAACAAATCAATTGGATGTTGGTCAATCTGTTAAAAATGTAAACCTCGAACAATAACTTATACAATAACTATAAATGAAAGCATTTCTAATTATTCTTAGTGGTTAGCTGCAGAGGCTTTAATGAATAATCCCAAAATTGAAGTCACTTCAGATGGTATACGTTTCACGTTTAAGCCCGTTTATAAAATTAAAGATGGCAAAAGTCTTTTGCGCTTGCTTAAGTCGCACGACCTTAAGGGCTTGGGTGGTATCTTACTCGACGATGTCCAAGAGTCCCTACCACATTGTGAAAAAGTCTTAAAAAATAGAGCATCAGAAATTATATTTATCGTCAGACCTATAGATAAAAAGAAAATTCTATTCTACAATGATCGTACTGCTAATTTTACGGTTAGTTACTGTCATTTTTACTGTCATTACTGCTATATACCAAAAATAAATTTAGGTGGATGAAGAGTTTCAGAAGTTATGGCGTTCAGCTACAGTTGATGCTATGGATGATGCAAAAATCGATGAATATTTGGAGAAACAGGGTATAAGATCAATGCAGGATCATGGTCCCAAAAAACCAGTACCTAAACGAAGAAAGGTTGCCAGCAAAAAGCGACAGTTTAAGAAACCTAGGGACAATGAGCACTTGGCAGATGTCTTGGAAATCTATGAAGAGAATACTTTGACACAGAAAGGCAATAACCCTACATGAAAAGAAAGACTAATTGAAAAAAGTTTAAAAAAATTAAGAATGTCAAATGTTAACATTTTAAAAAAATACAAAAAGAGCTGCATATTATTTTTCAAAGTATGCAATTGTCTAGCATGTTTATAATTTTGATTTTTTTTAGGATATTTTAGAATATTAATCAAATGAGATTTACCCATTTGTTTCAATATAAGTCAACCCTAAGGCAAAATCAATTTTTTTAAATTTTAAACGGCTTGACAAGAAAAAGATTATAACTAAAAAGAAATCGCAAGTAATGTAAAAGGGCTGAAAACACGGAAGAAAAGATGACACGAGAAAAAAATACATGAAAGAACTAAATATAAAATTTCGAGTTCTCTTATTCTTCTAAGCTAACAAAAACCGTAGGCGAAGACTTTTTCTTATTAACGATTATTAAATTATCTAAAACTGTAATGGCAAATTTGTTACTGTTATGTTACAGATTATTTTTATATTTTATTAATATATCTGTATGTAATTTTTGGTGGTTTCATCCATTTATATCCTTTATTTATATTAAGTATAAGTTCAACAATATCCAACAACAAATTCGTAGTTATTTTTTATCGGAGTGGAAATAAACTTTTTTTCTCAACATATCTTAAGATCAGCTTGAATATTTAAAAGCTATTCAAATCATTCTCATATCTATATATACAACGAGAAATATTATTTCAACAATCGGATCAGCTATGCCATTCAATAAAAAAAGAAAAATTTTTTGTAGTGTTCTACCACCTCCTAGTTCTTAAGTACAGTTATCTTCGAAAGCAAGCTTGAGAACCGTTATATGTGTTGTTACTTTATATCACTTTAAGATAAGATTTAAAGAATGAAAACATACAAAAATAGACTATCAGGACTAAACAATAGCAAAGTTTTACATCAAAGTGCTTACAATATCAAAAAAAAAAAGAAGTTATTATTGTTAATTAATAAAAGCTTATTAAAATTTTTTTTTTCGGTTACTTTTGATTCTACATCCGTTTTTCATTGTGGCTTATATCCAAAAGTTTGCCTCACTTGCATTGTTTTGCAACACAAAGTTTTATATATTTATTACACTTGAACTTTTAAGTAGTTTAGAATTACACGATCATTCTATAATTATTCCCTTTTTCAAAAGTCGTCATTAATGTTCTATTCATGTAAAAGTTTGGAAAAACTAACATTCTTCGAATAATTCTAGGAATTCAAAGGTAGGCTATCCTCATATGTAATAAAAAGAGTTTTGCTTGCTTTGAAAGTAGATATACTTATAAATTTGACGAAGTCCATGCAGTTGCGTTGTCTGCACGGAGCTATTTCTGCTGCTTAATTCTCTAGAACCTTTATGGAAATTGTAAAGTTTTAAGTTTCTTTATGGTAATCTTGCTTTACTTCTTCTTTCACTGTAGAATATCTTTTCAATCTCACTTTCGCGTGAATCAGTCAGTAAATTTCATAATCATACTAAAATGAAATAAAATTAGTTTTCATGTATGGGCGCAGTTTTTTGCAGGCACTCCAGCTCGTTTTTCTTGTAATATTTTAACTTCAATATGAAGTTTTATTGTTTCTTATAAGATATTGTAAAATGTTATTTGTTCAAATTTTTTGACATTAAAAATGCTTCGCGTGTCCAGGTATCATTAATGATGGCAAAGTTCAGCTCATATGTTTTATGATAGATTGTTCTCTTTAGACAAGTTCATCATCGAAACAGGTTTTCTAAGTTATATTTACTTCTAGTTACGCATATCAGATACGCAAATGTAATTGAATGCAAAATTTCGAAATAAAAAATCGAGAAATTAATTAGTCGCAAAGATGCCAACGATTAATTGATTTTTCCATTAAAATTCGTCGAACGTTACTTGGATCCTATAAAGCTAGAATTTCTTTGGCTTACTGTTTGGAACACGATAGGAGCTGGGGTACGAAATGAATAATGAATTCTTTGGAGCAGAAAGGATTGCTCGATAGTTTTTCTTTTAATTGTTGAGATCGTTATCCAATTCTATGCGTTCGCCAAATTGTTTTGAATATGAATTATGGTTGCGTCGCTTTAATTTGAATAGTTTCATACTATATCTGCAACCGAAATTTGCCAACATAATAAACACATCGGCTTTTCCAACTCACTTATAGTAATACCTGTGAATCCTGTTTTTTAACTACTGACGACTTTTTTCTTATAACTACTTGAAAACTCATCCGTTACTCTAGAATATGTTTTATTCGCACAATTAATTGAATATCGATGAAAAATACAGTTGCGAATTCGTTCAAATATACTACAAATTTTTTTCATGATGATGAAATTTCTTCGCCTTCTTGAGCAATTGTTCGGACCTTCTGATTGAAAATTTGACTCTGGTGGTTGTATTTGGTTTGTCTAATCTCGCTATGTGTTTTAGAAATGGAATTTTTTCCTCGGTCATAATCTCTGTACTAATCGCTGTACTATCTATCTGTAGAGGAAAGCGGAGCTTTTCATAAAACCATAACATGATTGAGTCGACTGAACTGCACGATGCTTTGGGCTTCCAAAATGGAAACACATAATACTCCTTGAATAAGGCATGAATTTCTGTTTTTAATAATCCTGCATACGTTTTCATCGATTCCAACCGTTCCTTTATGCGATTTCTATAAGTCAAATTTGTTTGGAATTACGTAGTTCAATTAATTAGTTTCACGTTTTCTCCTCTTTTTTAGTAAAGACAGGTTTAAATAATTCATTCAAAGTCTTATTACTCATTTGTATATAGGTGTGTAGGTGCGTACATATTAGCTTATTTTGTCTGTCTTCTTTTAAGCCTAATGGCGGTATGCTTTCAACAGTAGACAATATGTTTTGTGAACTTGTTTTCACTTTGCTCTATTTGAACTTTTAATCAAATTATTTATTTTAATGTTGGTTTTTTTTATATCCTTTCACGTCAGATTGTCACTGCTATTCTGCATTTAGCGTTTCGAGGAAAAATAAAAGACTTTGTGCCTATTGAATATACACTAAGAAAGGCAAAAAAAAAAACAAAAATTGTGCAGTCTGCAATCAGTTCACGAAAAATTAAAAAGATTTGTAGTCTTCGCAATTCAAGTAAACATATCATTATTAAGTACTTGTCAATGCATTTCTTTTTCTTTGTAACAACAAATTAAAACAATATGCAAAATGTATCAAATATTCACATCAGCTTCTCTCGAGTAGCACGAAGTGGGTGTACTTACGTGATTTTTATATATATATATAGGGGAAGAGGGAAAGTTGTTTTTTGTTAAAAGTTTATAATATTTTTAATATGCTTTTTTCAACTTTTTTTCTTAGTTGGCTTTTGTCTTTAGTCGGGTGCGCCATATTTACGTGGTGTCTACGTCAACACTCACTCAATATCTTCGAGCTAAATGGCAGCGTTTTCTATTCTCTTCGGCTTAGTGTTTGCGACAAATATTTATTCAATATTAGGATTACCGGAAGAGTACGTCAATTAATTTCATTGCTTATTTCCTAAGTTTATTTTTATTCTCTTTTTTTTTGTCAGTTTGATTTACGGATATGAGTGCATTGAAAATAAGTGCGTTAAGTTCCAACTAAATGAAGGGAATTGGAACAGTGCTTTAAGTTTACCAGTGTGTTATATGTTATGTAGTGATTCTATCGGCACTCTATGGCCAAAGCCAAACGGCAATGTGAAGCACGAGTCCTATTTGTTGCATATTGATCGGCGTAATATTCTTTTTAATGCACCAACACACCTCCCTCAGTATGCCCATTTTTGGCAAGTAAATGAAGAACGTTTTGCTAAAATATTAGAAAATAAACTACCAAATAAGGAAATTATAAAAAAAGGTGGTTATCCAATGAAAATTCTAATTAATATTGATAGCGATAATAGTGAATTTGAACAAATACCAAAACTTACTCTAAGCACTGATGAAAGCTACAAACTAGATGTTACAAAAGGAGATAATAATATCTTAGCTGATATAAGAGCGACAACATTCTTTGGAATTAGACATGGTTTAGAGACGCTATCGCAATTGATTGTTTATGATGACATAAGGCGTGAATTGCAAATCTTAGCTAATGTCTCTTTAAGCGATGAACCAGCATTCAAATGGCGAGGCTTACTGTTGGATACAGCCAGAAATTTCTACAGTGTGAAAGCTATCAAAAGAACTTTAGGTAAGTAAGTACTGTTGATAATTTAACCACAATTTAATAGGCGACATAAGAGACAAACGTATGTTTTAATTAAATTGCAATTTGTGGATTTTCATGTGGAAATATGGAAAGATTTCTATTTCTACCTAGCAACAGATGACGTTACAACTAATTTTAATATCTTAACAGCAGTTTATATTTCTTCGGCGACTCGACGTACAGGTAGGGCTATTTATAATAAGTTCGATGATTCGAGGCTTTTAAGTTGTTACTCGCAAACAGTACAAAGATAGAAGACTGAGCTACAGTAGAACAGCTGAGCATTGAGTTCCAGGAATCCGGAGTCTTCGCTAAGGTTGCTAAGAAATACATGCAGTGTAGACGCAAGCCAAAAGCATGAATAACAAACTGAGCAACCATCATTCTAATAATGATTTTTTATATATATGTTAATACATTAATCATACCATGTGGCAACAAACAATTTGTGCATATATTGGATGATATATTGAATACACCGCATATGCTGAGAGTAATCTCTTGGTCGCATTCTTTTTTACTAATTTTATTATATCATTGACGTCCTGAATTCCAACACTTTATAAGAAAAAAAGAAAAAAAAAATCGGGCACGAGTTTCATACTTACCGCCGAAAAGTAATGAGATATTGAATTTTTCATTTTGGATGTAATATTCTGAAATTGGCGTCAGATTCAGGAATAGCATTGAAATAAAATAGAAACTGTAGCAGCCCATGTATATAAATGCAATGGAAATCTCATGACTCATCAGATTTTATAAATGAAGATGAATATTTGTTCCAATCAGGCGGTATTATACTATTGTACATGCCGGTAAAACACTTTAAGTAATAAAATGAAAAAATGTTGTAATTTTATATATTTGTAATCTTTAAAATTTTATATAATTTTACTTTGCTTCTTTTGTAGATGCAATGGCTTCGGTAAAACTAAACACGTTTCACTGGCATATTATTGACAGCCAGAGTTTTCCTATGGAAATAAAAACGCGACCTGAATTACATAAAATAGGTGCTTATTCTCAAAGAAAAGTTTACACTCATGAAGACATTGCTCAAATTGTGGAATATGGTCGTGCAAGAGGTATAAGAGTTATGCCAGAATTTGATGCTCCTGCACACGTCGGTGAGGGCTGGCAACATAAAAATATGACTGCTTGCTTCAAGGCCAAACCATGGCAAAATTACTGTGTTGAGCCACCCTGCGGGCAATTAGATCCGACAGTTGACGATATGTATTCGGTACTTCAGGATATATATCAGGATATGTTTGATCTATTTGATCCTGATGTTTTCCACATGGGCGGTGACGAAGTATCTTTTACGTGTTGGAACAGCACAAAATCAATAATCGATTGGATGATTGGAATGGGTTGGGAGCTAAAGACCTCTGATTTTATACATTTATGGGGACATTTTCAAATGGAAGCAATGCGAAGAGTTGATTATGTAACTAAACAAAAACAAATTCCCATAATCTTATGGACAAGTAAATTGACCGACCCCGCTCATATCGAAAAGTATTTGAACAAGAAACGTTATTTTATCCAAATCTGGACTCGACGTGATGATTCTCAAGTGCTAGATATTTTAAAACGCGGTTTCCAAATTATAGTGTCTAATCATGATGCTTTATATTTTGATTGCGGTGGAGCCAACTGGGTTGGAGAAGGCAACAATTGGTGTTCTCCTTATATCGGCTGGCAAAAAGTATACGATAATAGAATGGAAGTTGTTGCTGAACACTACATATCTCAAGTGCTAGGGGCCGAAGCAGCTGTTTGGTCCGAGCAGATAGACGAACAAAATTTGGATCAACGTCTGTGGCCACGCGCAAGTGCTTTAGCTGAACGTTTATGGTCAAACCCGAGTGGCAATTGGCGACAAGCTGAAGCCCGTATACTGTTGCATCGCGAAAATCTAGTTAAAAATGGTATTGCGGCTGAACCTTTACAGCCCGAATGGTGTCTGCAAAGTCAAAAAGAATGTTCCATTTCGGATGCATAGGCCGAAGACTTGAAATTCTGAATTTACTATTTATGTACGTTTTTATTACAATAAACATAAAATGGTATGTAGCGTCTTCCCTTGCACCTCACAGATATTATTATTCGGCCTAGTCCGAATTTTATGAAAACAGCTCTTGGGCCAGCAGCAAAATTTTGCTTTTATTTACGTAGTTGCAGGAGTCTTTATTTAGAATCCATTCATGGCATACACTACAATTTTAAATATTTTTATTTGTTCTGCATATTTGAAGATTTAATTAAGTAAATAATCTATAATATATACTTGTATTTTTTTTTTCTTTTCATTTAATAATATTCAGTTCGTATTTTTTTTTTTTTTTTTGTTTTTAATAAGAATGTATATGTGAATGAGAAATTAGACCAATTAAACTAAATATATAAACTGTTAATTTCTTGATTGTGGTCACACTAAATACGTAGGTAAATGCGAGTTCATTATATTTTTCACACAAGTCCAAACAAGAGTCGGCCGCATTACATACACAGTTACACAGTATTCAGGGGAGAAGTGCATTCATCAATTAAATAAAACATTTGAATTGATGTATATTTTCTCTTTATTATTTTTGTATCGGTAGGGATATTTGGGTGATATTTCGGTAGTTGGTAGCTGTAATAGTTTTAATGGTTGTTGTTGTTGTTATTATAGTTGTGGTTATAACTTCCAAGGGTCTCTTCTCCGTATTCCGTTTATTCTTGTGTGTGTGTGCTACATGCATCCCCCGTTTTCTAGTCTATTCCTAAACTATAATAAAATTCAGATTCGGAATTAGAAGATCATAGAGACAACAATAGAGAGTTGATGGTAGTGGTCCGTGAATGAGAACTATTTCGGTTATTGATTTGATATCATTATATTATCTTCTGTATCCGTTTGGTTCATGTATCCGGTGATTGCTTTTCGTTTTCTAGGTTGGTGGTCAGTTAATGTTTTTTTTTGTTTTTATAAATTATTTCATTGTAAGGTAGTTTTTTAATACGTTTGTTTCTTACAGTTTTGTCCATCTGTGGTCTGTGAAAAATAGAAAACAAAAATATTTGCATTATGTGGCAATGAAACGAGACTTTGGTAAGTCAATTAGGCTACCGAAAAGTCCAAGTCTTATAATGTACTTGTTTTATAATTTAAAGAAAACTTAGCGTTCTCAAATGAGTTTCTAAGCAAAAAAAATTGTACTTACCGCTGTTGGAGAAGTAATTAGAATCATTTGTTGTTTTTTATTAAAATATAAAAGAATAGATAGAAATTTATAAGAGTATCAATAAACTTACGCTTAATTTCTGCGCAATCGTTTACGACCACTATCGTCACCATCACTGCCATTGCCTCTGTCTTCAGCTTCCATAACCTTAATTTTGGTACCACATATTTCGGCACCATTTAAAATTTGAATTGCCTTTTTGGCACTGTCTCTATCGGCATATTTAACATATCCACAATTTTTATTAGGCAGCAAATAGACATCAATTAAGTCCTTCCAACAAGAGAAAACGCTCTTCAAAATAGTTTGGGGAAGATTCTGTGACGGGTAAACACGTTAAATCAAGCCTGCGAAATACATATGAAATATATACCGATGCCAATACGATGAACAATCGTTGAGCCACTGGTGCATCACTTGACGCTAACGGTTGGGCCGGTGGCAAAGGCACATTGCAAATTGAATCCTTTCTGGTGCGTTCTATCCATGACAAATATAATACATACAAGTTTGTAAAAGGTGAGACTATTGTAAACACCTTGGTACGAATTTACGAGAACCCACCACTTCAAGTGGTATAGTTTCAATTTTGAAGCACCTCATGGATTGAGGCGATCCGCCCTTACTAATTTTAAGCTACATAATTCTAGACATAATTTTCAGAACAATATTTTTACTTCTTACGTTATTTGCAGTAAAATATATTAAATTTTGAATTTTATCAATTTATCCAATCATGGGCGAATCGCGCTCACTTTTACGTTATATCTTTAAAGTCTAATCTAGAGTGAATATATGATAAATGAAAGTCGCGGCACTTTTGTGTACGAATTAAAAAGATATTGTTTGCCACGTTTAACTTTCGATGGTAGGCATTAATGTTAAGAATACTTACTGTCAATAAAAGATGTATCTATGCGTGAAGAGCTCATGCCAGACACTTTGACGATGATACGTTCTCCCACTGGATATTCTAAACCATGTAGCTTATCCCTGAAAGAAAAAAAGTGATTACTAATATTCTTGTCACTAAATGCGTTTATTACTTTGCATAAATGGCTGCTTCAGGATTGTCGTAAACTACTATAGCCTCATTTGTTCTTGGTCCATCTGCACAGAAAATTCGAGAATTAAGATTATTGCATACGATAGTTTAAGTTGCCTTACATTCCCTAGTAATTTGACAGTAGTCTAAACCAGGTATGATATCAAATAATCTCCATAGTTGATCTTGATTTACGCTATTACTAGCAATAACTTCTAAACATGTCGGTTGCGGTACGGGAACATTTTGCATGCGCAGAAAAGCAGCCATATCAGTGTTGCTGGAAAGATTAGTCCAATCATTAAATCCGCCGCCATTATTATAACCCCCCATATTATTGGATCCAAAGCCACCATTTCCATAGCCCCCACCGCCTCCACCACGTCCTCCGCTAACGGGTCCATCATCAGGAAGTCGTCCATACTGATCGCGCTGATTGCGCGTCGAGTTTTTCGGTTCAGCAAATACCGCTTTGTACTTTGAGGCACAATTTTCAAAAGCCAAAGCAGCATGATAAAACCTCGTGTAACGTATATATCCGAAACCCTTAGGATTGCCAGTATTTTTATCTCTGACTAATGTTACGCTGTCTACTGGACCCCATTGTGCAAATTCGTTACGCAATTCATCCTCAGTGGCATTTTTAGAAGTGACAATAAAAAGACGCACGTACTTCTCTTGTTCGTTTTCTACTTTGTTCGAACCCTGATTGCGACTGGTTATACATACAAAAATGTGTCAAAACTCTACGCGCAAATCTTACTATATTTCAAACTTGGTACTCACTTTGCAGCAACCAACACTTTTAAGGGCCTGTCTACATTTCCCATCGGCTTGCCGTTCATTTCTTCCTGAGCTTTAGCTGCATCAGACGTTTTAGTAAATTTTATATAAACGATACCTTTACTGTCGCCGCTTTGCTTATCTTTAACTACCCAAATGTCTTCAATTTCTCCAAATGGAGAAAATGTTTCACGAAATTGTTCCTCGGTATGAGCTTTATTGCATATAACAAATAACCTAGACATTGGCGGATCATCTTCACCAGTATGACCGCGGCCACCGTCACGGTAGCCGTCACGTGATTGTGAACGATAATCAGACATATCTTTAAGTTTTTCTTTCTTTTTTTTTACTATTTTTCCTAAATTCGAATTAAGAAACTTAATTTTCCTCGCTTCTCAGCTATTAAAATTTATTCGACTTTGGTCTACGATGAAAAGAAAATGGCGAAATATGTATACCAGCATAAGTGATGCCATGAATTAAGAAATAATCATTATTATCGGTTGAATATTGTGATGAACTTCATGAAAAATGCAATCGGCTTGAATTATCAAAACATTTTATTCGATTATATTACGGTACAAATAGTATTTAAGAAATACCACATAGTTTTTGCTTTTAGAAAAGTTTTTAAATTGAATTAAGCAAAATAAACATATTTGGGCATTTGAAAGTTTAGTGTTTTTGAAATACACTACAGATGCACAGATGGATTAATTTCGTAAAAATCATTAAACAAACCTCAACCAAAGCTTATTCCAATCGCATTGACAGCTATGTCCAAAGGTCGTCTATAATTGTTAGCAATCTGCGCTGCCTTTTTTCTTGTTTTCTTTTGGATCGATTACGGTTATCGAAAGGTGCAATTTCACAACACAAGCGTAATAGCAAGCGCAAACAAACGCTACGTACGTTTCAGTTACGAAAATTTTGCATTAAACTCTACTTAACCAAAAGCACTTATATCTAATCCCTTATATCTAGTACTTCGTGGAGTGATTCTTACTACTTTAGTAAGTGATTCTAATCACTTGTGGCTATAGTGAGAAAACGTGAGCGGAAGCCTAACTGATTTTATAAACATTATTACATTTTTATTATTAAAAACTTCTGGCTCTATTGGTAGCACCTTTGTTGTAATAATCTAGGGCAATCTATGCAATTTACAATCTCTAACGAAAACACGTTGCGTTAAAGTTGATAGGTTTTTATCTTCAGTACAAAATTATAATGGATAAAAAATTTGGAAAAAAGAGGTAGAAAGAAGCCGGGGAAATTGGGAATGGTTCCAGTGGATGAAAATGTACCATTACCGCTTCAAAGACAATCTGATGATATAATTTTAAAAAAAGTACGTCTTGGCTTGTGAAATGTTTTAAATAAGTATCCACTATAATTTTTTTATTTTGTTTTCAAGAACAAATGGATTAACAAGGACAGAATTTTGGTGTTTGCGGGCAGGGGTATTAGTTATCGAGATCGTCATTTAATGAAAGACTTGAAGACACTTATGCCTCATCATAAGGCAGAATCTAAAATGCAGCGTTCTAAAACGTTGGCAGTGATAAATGAAATGTGTGAAATGAAACATTGCAATAAGTGCATATTTTTTGAGGGCAGACTTAAACGAGATTTATTTATGTGGATTTCTAATATATCGTTGGGGCCATCGGCTAAATTTTTAGTAGAAAATATTCACACAATGGCAGAATTGAAGCTCACAGGAAATTGCTTAAGGGGATCTAGACCTTTATTGTCTTTTGATGCGAAGTTTGATGAAATCCCTCATCTTAAACTGCTTAAAGAGCTATTGACTCAGACATTCGGAGTACCTAATTTTCATCCAAAAAGTCAACCTTTCGTTGATCATGTGTACACATTTACTCATTTAGATGGACGAATTTGGTTTAGAAATTTCCAAATTTTATCTGAAGATGGCGGAGTAGTTGAAATCGGGCCCAGATTTGTATTAAACCCTGTGAAAATTTTCGAAGACTCCTTTACTGGCATTGCTTTGTGGGAAAATCCTGATTACGTTAGTCCTGCTAAACAGCGACAAATTTTCAAAAAAGCTGTTAAAGAGCGTTACGTTAATCGAGTGGAACAAAAAGTCCACCATGAAACAACTTTTCCCAAAAATGCTTATGAAAGTCTCGCTTATGATGAAATATTCGAGGATAACGATCCGATAGAGACCGCAAAATTGTTGGAAGGTAAGGCAAAGGAAAAGCGAGTTGAAAACGCGAAGCGGGAAAAAATTACGAAAATCTCGAAAGATTCCCTAACAAAGAAAATCGAAGAAAAGCAAATACAAGTAATTAGAGGAGTAATAGCGAAAAGAAAAAATGCTGCTAAAAACAAACGAAAGGCTTGAGTAAATGTAGTTAGTCTATTATTAATTACACAATCGCATTAAATAAATTACAATATAAATTTATACAGTAAATACGTATATAAACTGTGTGGTACAGATTTACAAAGTAAAATATATGAATGATTTTTACACCTATATTTTGTACGTTAGGCGAAGAAGCACACGTTTACAAATTCGTTGAAAATTATTTATTTATTTTATATTATTGCTTCACTGCTCTCTTGAGGCGATCATTTTTGTTACGTTTAGAAAAACTTTAGAAAAACGTTAGTGTTTTAAATTAATCCTTTCTGTATTGATGTGTGTGCGTTCGATTGCTAGGATGGAGTATGTTTTGTGTCCATTATTCGTTTATTCGTTGGGTTCAATGATACCATCGGGCACAACAGTGGGTCTATGTGTCATACTGAACGGCTGCTTATTAATAGGCATCATTTCAACAACCTGTATTGGCGGCTCCTCGCCCGCTTGCAAAGGCTCTTCACCTACTAACCTGGCTAAATTACTTTTTGCCCAGCGTCCTGCTCTGCCATTAATAGTTTTGTCTTCACAAACACATAAAAACAATGTGTCCACAACCATCTTCAGTAGAAAAACATGGTTAAGGGTATTAACCGTTTTATTGTCAAAAGTTGTTACCTCAAATAGTGAAAGGACAATGTGCGCCACAAAGAAGGAAAATATAATTATGAGTATAACCGGTGCCATATAAAAGTTCAAACCCGGCTTGTCCTTTAATACGAAAATGCCTATTAGCCCGGATAAGGCTGCTACCATAGCTTTGCCCAGGAATAATATAAAGTCGCCAACACTGTTAATGGTAGCTACTTGTAAGGCGTTTGTAGCCATAGCATTCCAAGCCTGGATGGAGAGCAAAATAAAAAAAATTTAGCCTTTTAAACAATTTATGAAAAGGTGTTCCGGTTACACTTACAATACCAGCGGCGGGACAGAAGTTAATCGATTCAATAGCCACTACCGTGTAAGCGTTATGATTAAGGAAGCGTATAAATTTCTCCAAAAGCCAAAAACCACATATGCAGCATTTTAAGCAACAAAAAGCACATTGAGAACCTTTATCTTCCCCTTTTTTCAACCTAAATATAAAACCGAATAATTACTTGAGCAATCCGATGATTCATATTTTTTAGCTAGTGGTTGAAACTAGCACTTACGGAAAAGTTTACTAAAAATAAAAAAACTTTTCTATAATTTTTTTTCGTCTAACATGTATACTAGTTACTTCTGTGAAATTGTTTTTTTTTTAAATATTCTCAAAAACTTTAAAAAAGTTGGATTATAATTCAATACACGCTCTTAGATGAAAAAGTTTGGGCATGTGTGCTTACAGCCGAGGCTCATTTTTCTCTTTTTGGCTTCGTGGTGTTCATTAAGGATTTCCTATGCGTGATAGAAATAGTTACTCACCCTTTTGCAGATTAAAGCATCTTCTGTCAGTCGTTTTCAAGGTACAATACTGACGCTGCTTTATTAATGATATACCTGATCGAGACCTCATCGAAATACGTAAATGGGGTTGAGCGAACGGCGCACTATTTCAATGTTAACAGAACATAGTACAATCTCTTACTGGAGAGGGAAAGTGATAAACACTCCGCTTCTACAATCTTCCTTGATTGTGTCAATCTAGAGAAATCAATACGGATTATGATTCTAGAGATGATAACACATAATTGCGTTTATTGGAAAAAACATGTGTTCGAAATGTTGAAACACTTAAGCCTTTACGCATGTACTCGTAGAAACTTCGATATCTTGTGTAGGAACCGTCGTGCGCGCACACGGAAGGATCTCATGCTCATGGGGGACGAAATGTATTCACAAGGTAGGATGTGCGTGCTGCCGTGCTTAAAAAGAGACATTCCCGTCTTATAATATTCTGTAGACTTACAATGAAATCAAGTCTTTTAAGAAGGCTAGTTGGCTTTCTTATTGTTTTCACTCATTTGTCCCTGAATTACGTACGTATACTATTATAAATGCTCGAATTTGCTACGTTTATTCGGTGTTAATAAAAGGTTTTAAATCTACTTATCCAGTTATGTCTGTGCTGAGCTTTGTTATAGGGATTCTTAATGTCGAAGTAAGTGAACAAAAATATAAAATCCACCTAGTGGATGTGCATCTACCCATAGGTCCAGAATCCAAGTAAGCTAAATTTGTAAAAGAAACATTGTTCTAAACAATTGGTTAATCATTTTTTGACTTATGTGCGATATTTGTTGTCATAAGATTAGGTTCAGGGTCACTTGAAACTTTTAACTCGTCGACAAGATTAATAGTTGGTCTGCTGATGAGCTTAACATTGCAATTGTGGTTAGCATTTACGACGTGTACTTTTGTTTACCCGAAGCGGGTTTTCAGAGATAATAAAACGAAAAAAATATCGGATTTTTCCTACCGTGTTTGAAATAAAATGACGGATTCAACAGAGATTTCAACGTTTAAATGATGAGCAATGGCACATAGTATCCAAATAGCATTTGATAAGGCTGAACGTAAAAATAAATCAAGTAAATCATTCTAAGTTAAAGTTAATTTACGTATAAAAAAATTATAAAAGAAAGCATTTTGTTTACTGGAGCAGTAAGACATAGGCGCGGTCACATCGTTTTGCGAAATAAGGAGTACAAGATTTAACTAACGCGTACCTTCTAATTTCTTATAATTTTTCATTTTCTCTAAGTTCATCATTTAAAGAAAGAAATAGAAACCTAACAATTAAATTAATTGTTGATTAAATTGAACTAATTTAATTATTAAAACAATTGAATAGTAATTAGAAATTTTTTTTATATAGATCGAGTATTCCTTACTACTTACTTGGCATATAAATATGTTAAGATAAGACGTGGTATTTTGAATATGGTTATAACAAATGAACCTTTCGCTGCAGTACCCAAATGGTATTTAATTAACTTGCCGATCGCATAAATAGTTGGTGAGGTGGTTGGTTTGTCAAAATACCAAAATGCTACGGCGGCAGCGAGAGCAAATTGTTGACACGCAAATATGAATTCTGTGGTCCAAATTAGCCCCACAACGTAAATCCAAAACATGCTCTTAAGCGCTTTCGCTTCAGTATATTCTACACGTAAAATTGCTAAAAAATCATCTTTTTTTTTAAATTTTATGACATGAAACGATGAAATAATTTACAATAAGCAGTTTACGTATGATCATTGGAACGTACATATATAAGTATATTTATAAGAAATAATAAGGAAAATACAAAAAAGCACTCAAAATTTCACCCGTTCACGTAAATGACGTCTATGGACGTGTATTGCGTGTGCTTATGCACATGACGTCGATAGCAGTCCTATATTCTTATTATTATAAAACAACAAAAACAGAGAAGTGTGATTTTGGAAGGACTCGATGATTCTAAAATGGGTGTCAACGTGTTAAGCGGGAAAGCTTGCACGAATGTGATTCTGCAAAAAATTTTATTTCAAGTGTAAAAGCTGAGAAAGTCAATATTTTCGCTATGTACGAGAAAAAGCAAATGAAGTGTATTGTGAAGGAGTAAAGTGCGGTAAGCGACGAATCTCTACATTAAAAATTTCATATCCTTATCTCAATCTTCATAAAGTCAACAAGTGGAAATATGTTACAGATAAATGCTATACATAAATTGTTATTTTAAATGATATTAAATGCAAATAACTAAAGTTGTTAGAACAAAAATGATAAATAGACATTTGTTATGATAGCAATCACTTACACATGATGTAAGCAAGTATGCATGTCTATATACATAACATATATATGTACGTAGATCTTCGCATAATTTTCTTTTTATTTTGAAAGTTAAATTTATAATAATTACTTACTTTTATAATCGGAATCAGTATTATTTTTTATGGTTACACTGGTACTGGTGGCCTGAGCAGCCGTATTGTCAAACGGTGCAATAGGACTTTGACCGGGTGCGCTAGCTGTTGCTATACACATCACCACCAAAACCCAAAATGCTAAAAATAAAGCTAACACTACAAATGCCAACAGCGGGGCTATAAGCAAACCCGGCAAATTCATCATACATTGGCCGGCCTCTTCGAATAATGCTGATAGCCCCGATAATTTATTTTTTAGATAGTATATAATAACTAACAAAATAATCTAAAAACGAAAATGAAAACAGAAGCATTAAAATACTTTCCTATCGAAGAAAGATGCATTTCGACTTACCATTGTTATAGTAGCCAATATGGCTAATACAAACACTGCCTGTTCGTTTCGAACAAATTCTTCCAAATAGGAAAATTGCGCATTTGTCTTTGTTTTGTTCCGTATGCTATAATAGGCATACCATAAAGCCACGGTCAGACCGAGACTGGCAACTATAACGAATATGCATATCAACCACGATACAATTCGTGAAAGCCAATGCATTAATATAACTAGAGCAATAGAAATTACTGCGAAGAAAAGTAATAAATGTAGATATGTGAAAAGAAGCAATTATTTATTAATTTGATTCTTAAGTAGACTTACGAAATGATAGACCACATATTATAGCTATAAAATGCCAAGTGGAATGAATATCGCATAAAAACTGCTGAGCAGCATCCCATGAGTTTAACATTTTATACATGTCCTTAACAGGAGCTTTATTGCTTTTGGGCATGCAACGATGTAAAACCGGTTCACTATAGAAGTTACGTTAGCGGTACCAATGAATGTTAATTCGCTTATATGAATTATCCACCACTAATTCACTCGCATATAATGTGTGTTATTATCATTTAAGTCGCAATTATGAAGGCGAATGTACATAAAATATGTACTTGAATATATACTTGAATTTAAAACGTTGCTTTTACCTTAAAAACCACTTAAGAAGTTTTTATGAAGCGATTTTCGTATGTTTTTCTGTTACTTTGACCTAGCTCAGATGTCATGTTTCTGTTACCTTTCATGATACATTATCAAAATGTACTCGATACTTTATATAACATCTACACATTATCCGTAGGGATCCGCTAAGATATTTGCATTATTAATTAGCGCAAGATTTTCAATCGAGTTAGCCATTTGTGAGGTCGCTGGTCTCCCTAGTATTAGAATTATAAAAGCTGCGAAAATTGGCGTACATGGTCAGAAAACTTCGAAAATGTAGCCATCATATTAGGTTAAAAGTAAAAAAACTTTGCAAATAAAATCGCAAATTTGTATTTATTTTTATTAATAATTCAATAGTTCTATAGCTGCACGTTAATCCAAAATTTTATTCGATAATTGCATTGCCCAAATGTGGAATGATACAAGCTTTAAATAACACCTTGCAGTTAATTGATATGAATACAATTACAAATAACTATTTAAAGTGATGTTTCTTTAACGTTTACTTCGAATATGTCTTGTTTGCTACAAATCAAACTTACGTTAAAATGAGGTTAACCTATTTGGGCAATGTTTCAAATAGGTTAGGGCTCTTTTAGTTACTTTTTTTTTTTGTTTACTATAACGAATTTCAAATTTATTAAAGTTTGATAGGAAGCAAATCCGCAGCGGAGATTTTATAAAGAGTATCTGCACTTGACAAGGGTGAAACGCTCAACGATTACGACTTCACAAATGAACAGGAGAAAAAGAAGATTAACTGCATATTTTTTGCTATTAGTCTCGTCAGTCTAAGCTTAACGAAAAATTAAATAAATTTGACAATTTTTCGCTATGCTCTATAATTTGTTTTTCAAATTGACTAACATAACGTATTAAAGTTATGCGTAAAAACCCATATTTTCATATATAAGGAATGGATTAATGGACATATCATAAGTTGTTGTTCCAATAAAAGTTAGTGGGGGATATTTCTTTGATTTTGTTTTTGTTTATAATACCTCACACCACTTGTGGTTCAAGAATATATTACGTTTGAGCGAATTTACGCAACATCAAGAAGAACTTAAGATAGATGCACCGTTTATTGATCTAAGCTTATCTGTTTGTCGTATTTTTTTGTGTTCAACTTACAAGTCGCAATTTTTGAGATATGTTGATGAGCTCTGGTACATCGACATGTTTTGGCCCAAGGATGAACATTTTGAAAACGGTTTACATCGGACTACTTTTCCGACCCTTTCTCTCCTTACAACTTATTATAAAAAATCATTAAATTAATAACTGCATTAAACGAAGTGGTGTGGGGTATTTAATGAAGCGCCGTTTCTTAGTATATCATCTTTGGCTGCTTTTTCAAGTGTTATTTCTATTATCCCTATTTACCTTTCGTACACCGGAAATTGCGGACATGGTCCCAAGTGATTGAAAAATTGATTTAAATTTCCAGTTGCTTCATTAGATATTAGGCTCATATCAAAATCATAACGACAAAACTTAGTTTGATAATCCTGAAAGTACTTATACAATTCCTGCCGATTGGTTAATGTTTTTGATGGGCATTCTTTTACACATATTTTTATTGATTCTTTTAGCTTTCGAACATCAAAATAAAATAATTGTGGCTTATCGATGGTATTCATTCCGGATAATGGAAAATTTGTATAGTGCTCATTCTTTTTAACTCCACATGTGTTACCAAACGAATCATAGCCGTTAATGACACGCAATGGATTACCGTAAACAAAGGAGAATATCGCGATGACTATCTGCAAATGCATATAAAGTACAGAATATACAATAACATTAAATGGTAACCTAAGCGATAACAATATGTGCGACAATTCCATGGACATTGTGATGAGCTTTATTGTTTTGATTTTATTAATTAAATATTCTTCTAGACTTTTCTACAATAACAATATATTTTATTTTGCAGTGTAAACTAATCTACCGAAACTGCATAAAAGTAGTAATATTAAAGAATATTTAATTATTTAAACATATACATACGTTTAAATATATATATATATATACATGTATTGAATGCAACACAAATCAACTTCCACTTTCGAAACAGTGCCAGCAAACAACCAATGTGAAGGAATTTCGTGCTTCATGTTAATAAACTTAAATAAATGCTACTTTTTCTGTGATTCACTTTAATATTTAATCAACCTGCCTCGTTTTTCTCTATTTATAAATATGTACGTCCATATATGCTTATACATATGATGTATCAAGTGTATATATATATATTTATATGTATGTTTACAGCAATCGTAATTTTTTTATGTGAACATGACGCCATACAAAGAATGTAAATTCCATCAAGTATAAAATAATAGTAATTCGACTGTTTTCTAAACTTTATCTAACTTCTTACCAAAAATAACCAAAATATGATGTAGATGGTCAACCAAAACGTGTCCGTACACGTACGATATTTCGGATGGATATTTTGTTGTTGTTCATCTTCTGAACTCGAAGCACAACCCATTTTTTTTTTCTTATGTGTTGAATATTCAATATATTTTTGTCCTTATGTATTAAATGAGAATCACTTTTCGCTAACTGCAGAGAACAATCATACGCATTTATACCTTTTCTTAATTAATTTACTCCTAGTTCTAACGACCTTAAATATCCTACGCGTTTACAAATGAATTCCGTTTGTGCAGCTGTGGTGGTTAAATGAACTGCAATCGCTCACTATTTAGTTGTTTACAATTTCAATCAAATTTCAAGCATTAGATATTGTCTAATAATCACAGCTGTAAAAAACGGGCACTAATTTTGTATTGGTACTAATATTACTGCTAACCAGTGCACACGAAAGGAGTTTCATTACATCGTATAATGTTCTCATTAAAATTATCATCCATTGTAAAATATGCAGATTTTTCAATAAAATGTGCAATTATATTTTTGGAGGAGGTACTAAGATGAATCCATCTCAAAGGGGTGAACGCAATGCATCTTTCGTAGAAAATCTTTAAGATTTCAAATTTTTTTGTGCAATAAGACATTATTAAAAATGCTTCGTAAATTCTGCATTTAGATTGATTGATGTTCACAATTGTTCGTACTTTTTTATGTGTACATTTGCGTACATTAGAGTGGTGTTAAAGTAAAAATTCATTAGGTGATTTTATAAAATCCAATTTCATCACAAAAGTTAATATTAATACGCATAAGCATTTTGCCTTCGTTAGTAGTTTGAAATTTTAAAAATCTGTTTTATATAGAACTTCGTAGGTGGGACGAAACAAAGTCTTTTTGTCTTATTACCTCGCTACTTACGATATTCTAATAGAACAAAGCTAGACATTTCTGAATATTTATGTAGTAAGACTTGAAAATTGGAGCAGATGTTACGTAAACTTATTAAATGTGTGATCGTGTAAAAACATAGGTCTAGAGCTACGAACTTTATTTATCAATTAAACTTGAAAGCGAAATCTAATATTAAGATAAGAGTTCAGCGAAGGAAAATTATTAATACAATTGCTTTAAATCAAACAAATAAATTCTATGGTTAAAAGCTAGTATAAACGCTAGCAACCAAGCTAACCTAAAAGTAACTGAAATATGATTACAGTTTCATTAGCAGTAAGGTTGTCGTGAAAACCTTCGAAAGCAATTGAAGTAAATTTAAACATTGATATATACGCCAAAGAAATCAATTCTTTCCTCTGTTTTTCAATTTTCAGGAATGTTTCTTTTCTCCTTTGATAGTTTGCATTTACTTTTAATGTGCCCAGTATTCAGTGTAGAAGCGAAGATAATGTTCACCCTTTAGACATGAGTGTGAATTAAGCAAGTAAAAGATGAGATTGTAAACGTTAGCATCCTAAAGATTTGAAATTTTCTAGACTTGCGTAAGCTGTAACAGCTATGTAAGTGACTAAATCAGGGTAACAATCGCTAGACACATATAATACCTTTAAAATCGAAGTCGTAATTAAAAAGACGTTGCTATCGTAGAGAACTATTTTTAAAAATGTTAATAATTACATATGTATATTAATCAAAAAAGGGGGTTATTTAAAGGTTACCTATCTGAAAACATAGTCTGGCCACCCTGTGTTTATCGTCTAAAATTGAATTGTTGAATTATTTATTTTTTTTGTGTTTTTGGCTGCAGAGTAGCGTTTGCAGTGTTTTATCTTATTTAAATTTGACCAAACTCAGTGCTTATGAATTCTTGTTACTTATAAAAAACATTAAGAAAATGTCGATGCGCCCGGATGATCATCGCAGAAAATGGGATAAAGTTGAATATCAACGTAAAGCCCAGGAACGCTTGCTTAGTCAAGCTAAGTTAAATGATAAAAAACATGAAAAACATGATGGTATGCCTGTAGAGAATTAATTTCAAATGATCTGTACTTTGTTAAAGAGATTTTTTATATTTGATTTTTCATACATATTAGTAGAACCAATTGAACGGGAAAATCTGAAAAGACGTGAATACAAGGTTGACTTGGAGAGTAAATTAGGAAAAAGTGTAGTAATAAATAAAAACACACCGGGCTCACAAACAGGAGGTTATTATTGCAATGCTTGCGATTGCGTGGTTAAAGATTCCATTAATTTTTTGGATCACATTAATGGCAAAAAGCATCAACGAAACTTGGGAATGAATATGCAAATTGAGCGTAGCACGGTCGATCAAGTAAAGGAACGTTTCCAAGCCAATAAAAAGAAATTAGAAGAAAAACAGAAAGATTACGAACTTGAAAGACGTTTGCGTGAAGCCAAAGAAGAAGAAGAACGTTACAAAGAGCACCGCAAAGAAAGGCGGAAGGAACGTAAACGTAAAGCGGACGAAGATTTGGATGGCACCGCTATAACGGATGACATGGTTGATATGGCTGCTATAATGGGATTTTCAGGTTTTGGTGGTTCGAAAAAAAATTTATAAGCCATCAAAAAGAATTTTTACCACTAAGCTTTTGTATTTATTAAACTACGTGAATATAATATAATAAATATGTAAAAATGTATATACATATATGTATAGAAATTCAAACCAGATATACATGCATGAATAAAATTTATACGTTAAGTTAGTAAAAATAATTGAACACAAATACACAATAGAACAATTTATCAGGATAGCTGTTAAGCGGAGCTTTGGCGGGCATTGGATCATCGACATGAGGTAGAGCGCGTGAAACTTTACATTTGAACTTCAATTATGCAATTTTGAATGTAATGGAATAAAAAAGATTTATTTTTTGAAATAAACTAGAAAAATGTGTTGATTTACCGGAACTACGCGTTTCATAATTTCTGCAGAAAAATTTCGCAACATTATAGCCGACTTTAGACCACATAACAAAGCAGATTTAACATAATTACAATTAATTATATCATTTAAATATCTGTAAATAAATTGGTTGTAGGGGCCGACAAAAAATTTTTAAAATCTTGATGCATATTAACTGGCAAACAACAGCTTCATTTGATTTTTCAAACCAATCAGGAGGACCTTCACATTCAACTATATCCTCCCGTAACTCACGGAAGCAGTCATGATAGTCCGTAATATCTATAACGAAAAAAATGATAATACAAAATAATCTATTATTGATTTAGAGTGCATGTTTCGATATTTGCTATTCTTCATCAACAAATACATTTAAAAATAAAAAATTTTAATTTATCAAAATATGTAACATGCAATGCAGCTGCCCGTGTCTTACATAATAATGGTACTCTAATGTAACATGTCATATTATATACTTATCCAAAAATTGGCGACTATATGCGAATTGTTAGAATATGACGAAATCATTGTGAGTTAAGAGAATAAGTGAACATATCTAAATATATATGCATATATAAACTTCAATAAGATAAAAGAATATTAGGTAAGTAAAGCTCTAAGATGCGTTTTGTGAATTACAAACGTACAACAGGTGATATTTGAAATGGCTTAGCCAACCGTGCTTTAGTCGTTGTATTATTTCCACCAAAAAATGGTATGGGGATTTTTAATGAACAGATTTGCTATTTTAGATTGCATTTTATTGACAATATCCGCGCTAAGCAAAGCGACATAAAATGCTAAAAATGCTTACGTTTTGTTTTTGGTTTTCCGTTATAATAACATATAAAATGATTGAAATAGTCTAAGGCCAGGTAAAGTTTCATATAAAGATTATCGGGAGGTGGTGGTTCACTATTTCCTAAGGTATCATTTATATGAGTCAGCACACCGGAAACCTCTTTACAGGTGCTTCTCAAAGATTTTGTGCTCAATAGCAAAACTATACCTTCCGGACTTGTCACATACAGGCGAGCTAATTGTAAAAGCAATTGGTTTTCATCACAATGCTCTTTAACTTCTTTTACACTTTTTAATTTCTGCAAAGAAAAACACCACTTAATTCAAATATAGATATGTGGACATCTTGACGCACTTACATAGTTCCGATTAAAAAGTTGAAAGATATTACCTAGACTCCAAGCTAAGCTGTTTGTAAAGAAAAGACTTAAATAGCACCAGAAAAAAATTGTCTTGTTTAACATTGCCTTTGTGGGTCAATCGAACAATGTACATATATATAAAAGAGCTAGAAATAATCAATTTTTTATAACGTGATTTTTTATTTCGATTGTTCAAATTTGACATCTAAACTTGTCAAATAAATGTATATCTCTTCATAAATGTGTTGATATACATATTTATATGTATATAGGAGTGTGTGTGCTGACTTTTTATGCGTAATGGAATTTCCTAAAAGTATTTTAAATAAATGTTTTTTCCTTAAAATTTCCAATTGACCACCACATTTAATAATACTTATTTACAGTATTTTGTACCACACCATTAATATCAAAAGTAATTAGGCATGCAATTTAGGTAAAAACAAAATCTTGCTCAACGAGTATATCCCAAGGAAGGTTAAAGAATTCTGCAGGCAATGGTGTGCAATGTGTTGATTTAAAATCACGTAAGTGCTTTCTCAGCTATAAATACAAAACGGTTTTCAAAGTTAATATATAAGATAATTGCATTTATATATTTGCAGATATGATTTACCAAGAATTCGGCCATTTCACTGCGCACTTCCTCGTTATAGTCTTCTCCAATAGCCAAAGGAAACTTTTTACCCTGATCCGATACATAAGTAACTAAACGTGACATACACAAGTCGTCCTCGGGAGCTAATAGTAAACGATAATTCTTATTAATATGAAAGCAAAAAAGAAGTAGTCTTCGGTTTAGATCGAATGTTTTGATATTCATCCTTTAAATAAAAATTTTTCACAAATTTGAGATTTTTGTTAATAGCGACTTTACCGACGGGCGGACTTAACCAAATTCCGAATTTAATTTGGGGACGCTCACAAACTTGGCATAACATCATATTTAAGATATTCTGAATGATTTTTAGAAGAAAAGGGATTAAGAATATTTGTTGTTTTAGATATGTTTTAACTCGTTCACGTATCCACAATAGAAACCCTTTGACTAATTTTATGAATTTTCTGCGACGATCACAAAAAAATTTGCCGATAGTTACTTACTTGTAAAATTTCTATTTTCTAAAGGCTTGGAGAGTTGTTTCTTACAGCGATTTATCTGAGGGGTTTGAAATATATAGGGATAACGATATTTAAGTATACTTAATGCCAAAAAGTTTCCGCGATTTGTCTCAAGGTTGTTATCTCTGCAGGGAAGCAATTGGTAATTAAAACAAGCAACAAATATAAAGTTACACATCATTATAATTACTCAGCTATAATTTCGTCTTCGGTTCTCCGTATAAGATTGACAGGACCACTATACTTTTGGGCCAATTCAGCATTATGCAAATTGCAGTAATCACGTATAGCAATACGGACAATTCCCGATAAGCTTTGTGGCATACGAGATTGTGCTAAATATAAAACGTCATCAAAAGTAGCATCTAAAACCTTTTAAAATTTTAAACATTAATATTAACATATGCTTGCTTGTAGTTGCAACTTTTTCTACTGACCACTCCTTTAACATCTGGATAGCACGTGGCAGCCCATAGTGAACTATAACCACCGATACTCCAACCGTAGAACAATATATCATTGACAGAGAAACCCAGATGATAAATGGCAAATTTTACAACGGCTTCGACCGCATTTTTATCCTGGTCTGGAAAAGGTTTACCAGTGCTACCCTCAAACCCAGGATGATTCCATCCCAAAACAGAGTATTTCAGCGACAAAGGGGTTGCCATAATACCAATTTCATAAAAGCCAGCGTTACCTTCAAAAATTTTGCATAGGTTATTGCATATTATATTATATTATAGGGCCGTCGTTATCTTTTACCTTCTGAACAAATAACTAATATTTTTCCATTCACATTTCTATAGCGATTATCTACGAAAATTGTATCGATATCATTAGCATCCAAAGTTCGCACTTTAAACCGTCGAGCATTTTCCTCTTCAATTAATTTACCACGGCCAGCCACCAGCATAGGTCCTTAAGAAGATCATAAAATATTATATGTACAATGTATACGTATAATTTTGAGTTTTGTATATTTGATCCTACTCATGTAATGTTGCAACAATTTCACGGATCCTGGATACATCATTCGTATACCAAATGTTTGTATAGCTAAATAAGCAACAATTTCACAGGGGAAAGTCGTCCACTTAAAGTGACGACCGACCTTTTTCACAACAACATCTTTTCCCTTTTTCTCATCACTGGAATGAGGAAATTGAAATTAACTATAATTAGCAATAAAAATTCTATTTTGCTTAACACTAATTTATACACTTGTTATCTTCGTTAACTTAACAAAGTTCGCTTTACCAAACCTATTAGAGTTAATGACATAAAACATTTAAGGTGCTTTTGAAACGATTAACTCTATATTTTAAATCAATATCTGCTGCAAGACAATAATCTTTTGGTAAAAATAGATTCATAAATACCAATTTTTCTGAATATGACTACTAGCGATTTCAAGTATTTATTTTAATTTGTCGATACCGCGAGCGGTCCAAGGATAAACAATAATGGGAGCGCAAAACTCAAAATCTAGTGCTAATCAAGATTATTTACGTGTATCAGCGGATATATTATGCATAGTTCAGGACACAATAACCACGATTGCAAATTTCAACTGTCATAAAAATTTACGTAACAGGCGACAAAGATTGCGTTATAGCGAGTTCTAAATATTGACGACTTAAAAAGTTTGCTTTTTCAAATTGTTTTTGGGTAAATTTCTAATGAATACATATTTTATAATTTTATCTTCTTTCCTCAAAGTTTAAGCTTTCGAAGAGCAAATGTTTTTCTCTTGACAGTTCCGTGATCCTACGCTCATTATACGCTTTTATTACACAGATTAGATAGATATTTCATATTTATAAACTAACTGGACCTTCTCTATAAGCATCTTATATTGGATTATCAGTGTAGTAAATAATTGCAGCATACATATAACTTTGAAAGCAGATTTGCACGACTGAGTTGATCTAAAATATTAGTAAAAGTTTTTGGTTAGGATTTAAATATTTTATGTTAATAACCACCCAACGGTTACAAACAAACAGTGCAGATAAGTACAAAATTCAATTAAGAATACCTTTGTATGTTTTTAACATCGAAGTCCACTTTCCAATAATCAAATTCAAAGTCGAATAAACGTAGAGCACGTTTACCCTCTTCCTCAGTGTTTGGTGATTTTAATAACTCCATGGCTTTTATCATTCTCGTGTATGATTGTGATTGATTTCGACCCATTCCTCGCATTACCATCGAAACCATAAGAATTAGACCGATGCTTGTACTTATTTTGGCTATTGTTGAAATTGACTCCACTACAAAGTAGCCCCGCCTATATAAGAAGGTAACCAATAGAGGTGACGCGTAGAAACTAATGTTCCACATCAGGTTAAGCTGCAAGGTTGGAAATTTATTTTATGAAGGAAGCTTATTATTATTAATTGCTTTCCCTACCGTTGAGATTATCTGATCACCAAATTTTTCTAACCCGATTGGTTCATACAATTTCTACAATTATGCTTATTAATAACAATATTGAATTCATCATTTTAGAAAAGTGGGTTACCTGAGCGTTGCTCATTCCATATTCCATATAAAGTTTTGGTCCGAAAACGTAACGAAAGAAGCTCATTGTTTATAGTACTTACAGCTACTTAATTCTTAGTGTAGACTTTCAAAGCAGTTTCACGTTAATTAATTTTCAGTTTATTCTTTAAGAAAAAATGCAAATGAAAAAAATGACACTAACAATGTTAACTTGTTTCTCTTAATTTTTCGCAAATCACGAAAAATGATGACAGAAAGTTGCAAAGTATTTTGTAATCGACCACCGTACTAATGCCTTTTGAAGGATATTAAGTCATGTGAATGACCGACGTTTTAAATGTCATTATCTACTAATAAATCAAAATTAGAATAAAAAAGCAGTGTATGGTAAACAAAAGCGTTTAGTAGAGGAATGTCTTCCTTACGTGTTAATCTTTTTAATGAAAATTTTCTCAATGAATCTGAGCAAGATGCTAATTCCGTGCTGACGGAATTAGATAAAGGATTACGGTCAACAAAGATCGGTGTACAATGTGAAGCTATCGTCCGTTTCCCACGTTTATTTGAAAAATATCCATTTCCTATATTAATTAATTCGTCTTTTCTGAAATTGGCGGAATTTTTTTTGAACGGCTCGAATTTGTTACGTTTTTGGGTTCTAAGAGTTTGTCAGCAAAGTGAAAATCATTTGGATAAAATATTAAATATAGATGCATTTGTTAAGCGCATTTTCATGGTGATGCATTCAAATGATCCCGTTGCTAGAGCCATAACATTGCGTACCTTGGGTGCAGTCTCTCGCGTTATTCCCGAAAAGCAGCAGGTACATCACGCTTTGCGCCGTGCTTTGGATAGCCACGACACTGTAGAAGTGGAGGCAGCTGTTCATGCGAGTGGCCAATTTGCTGCTCAGTCACGCTCTTTCGCGATTAGCATGTGCGCTAAAATATCCGACATGATTGAATCATTACAAATACCGGTGCCTATGAAGTTGCAGTTGATACCTGTGCTGCGTCATATGCATCATGATGCTAATACCGCCACTTTAGTAAGAAAACTTTGCCTAAATTTATTACCAAAGTATCCGGCTGAAAGTTTTGTTGTAGCGATTTTGGCTTCATTAACTGAATTATCTGCAAGGACATTAACGGGAGTGCCAGATCAAGTAAAATTACTTTTACAGTTTATAAATGATAGCCGTAAGGCTGTTAGAGTTCAAGCCTTAAAGTCCTTAAGGAAATTAGCGGATGAACCATGTGTTCATGCATGGCCTAAAGTAGCAACTAAAGATTTAATAGCTAAAGCTTTTGTCTGCTGTGATCCCTCGGAACAGTATCTATTTCTGAAAATTTTACTAAAGCTTAGTAATCATCCTCTAACTTGTCATGTTCTATTAGCGCAGGACGAGGAGCCTTCTGTAAGAGATCTCTGCAAAATTTGCTTGAGCTTGAACAATTATGAAACGTGCTGTGAAGCCATAACGGTGTTGGCTTCTTTGGTTACTTATGCAGATGAAAGTGATCGGAACAACTGCGTCAACGTTATCATGGAACTTATTGATTTGCATTTGCAAAGTCTTTTAATATGCACAGTACGGGATAAAAATCATGCAGGAGATTTACGCAAGGTTCTGGCTTGTGGAATACGCGTGGCAGGTGTGAAATCAGAATTTGGGATGGAATTAGTTATAACTTTAGCTAATATTCTAAATGATAATGTGGTATATCCTTCAGCAAACGCAGAAGTTATATGTGAAGCATTAGGGGCGCTTTGTTCACATTTTCAGTTAAGTAAATTTGGACCTTCATCGGATTCAAATGGCGTTGACCAGAAAAGGAAAAAACAGGTATGAAGTTTTTCAAATACCATGGGCATATTTTTTTTAAAATTTATTACTTATTTACAGACCAATCCGATACTTAAAAATCTACTTTTAGTTATGCGCAAACTTAGCACCGCTGTTGAATCTGCTTCTGCAGATGACAACTCGCGCACTGTAGAAATTCTCAGTGCTGTGGCTTTACAAGCATTGATGGGTTGTTTTATGCCGACGCCAATAATGAGAACGTTTGAACAAATTCTATCAAAATGCAATGGCTGGACTCAATATCGTATAGCTCGTTCAGCTAGCCGTTACGGTCAACATAACTTGGCAGCTCATATCTACTTGAAAATATCTCGGGGCACAGTAGTGGATAAATTGCATTTCTTTCTTACAGGATTGTCGCAAATGGCCGAAGCTGAGTGCATACTTAACTATGGAGTGGTGTATGAGTTCATGGAGCAAAACTATGAGGCATGTGAGAATTATATAGTACGTGGTGTTCCTACGGACCGAAGTATACCTTTAATGCAGAGACTAGAAACCGCAATAAATTTATATTGGCAGAGTCTAGCCAGTTTACGGGCCAGTTCGTCCCCAACTCATCCTTTCACATTTCAGTTAGAATTTTTAAAATTGAGAGCGCAATTCCTGCAAACATTACACTTTGCTATAACTATTAAAAATGCCCAAATTATAGTACCGCCCCCAGCTATTGCAGGAAGTTTGGCACAAAATTCTCGAGATTATTTGCAAAAATTTGGCCATGTCACAAATCAATTGCGTAAACTTGTTAGAGAACTTAAAGGTTGTGAAGAATCATTTGGACGGCTATATAAATCGGCTTTTGATGCAGATCCCACTACATTGGAATTTTTAGAGATAATTCAATATCAGTGTCTATTGTTTGCACATATTGTCGAAACAATTTGTTTTGCTACACCATCTGATGCCCCGGTCTCCCAGGTGAATGGAAGATGCCCAGAAACTAAGTATATGTTGGCCTGTTGTCGGCGTATGGAACAATTGGGTAAAACGGTCCCGGAGGAGTCTGCTAACAATAAAACTATCAATAATTTTCACTTGGATATTATACTAGCAGAAATTGAAATTATTACGAAGACTCCTTTGTGTTTGCCGCGCTATTTCTTCCAGGTTTTACAATCGACACAAATTAAGTTATCAATTAGCCCCCAACCGCGAAGTGATTGCAAACCGGTAACTGTGCAACCCGGCAGTAATTTGGTAATAAAAGTTGAAGGCGTTATTCAACATTACGGCAGAAGGCCATCGCTGTTTCGTAGTGTGGAATCAATACAGTTAAGTTTGGTCTCAAAATTACTTATGTCTCGACCAGCCGGTGAAACTTTGAAAAACGCAACTGATACTGTAACTTTGACTCAAGTAGTTAAACCTCAACGTGATTTCCTTTCTGGTAACTTTTTGCTACCAATTTCCAGTGGGGGCCACTGGCAAGTGACTCTTGAAACTTACGTTATTGATGAAAACGGTATAACTTGGTGCACAGGGCCGAAAAATACTATGTTGGTGCGAGTGTTAGACGACCCAAGTAAAGCGCAAACAGCGCCCGCCCCATCCGCACAGGCAAGGCGTTTTTAAATTTAAAGTTAGGAATGAATGATTATGTAACAAAATAACCAACATATTTTATTAACAAGTTCATATAAATTTTTTACTTTTGGAATGGATAATAGTCCAAACCACTATTATAATTATATTTAGGTTTGTGGTTACGTTTCGCTATTTCAATCATATCTAAAACGTCTTTACGATAAGCTGGCGGCAACATTTCCTCAGGCAAAGTACATTCATACTTTTCCGGCTCTACTACTCTGTAAATGCTTCGTCTGATAATGTCAATATCACGACCAAATTCCTCACGCAAATCGGCCACCTTTTGGGGAGCAACGTTAAAGTTTATGCTAAAATAATTGCCCTCCCGATGTACCAGCCCGTGTTCGCTGATTTTGTAGGGCAGACCACGTGAACCAAGATTTTCCAAGTTTCTAATAATACCTCCGTTATTTAATATCGATTTAGCTGTGCGTTTTAGGACTGAAATCAGTTCCGACTGCAAGTTAAAAAAAAAAAAAACAATATCTTGTATACGATTAGAAAGAAAGGGAAAATTTACTCGGGCCATTTGCCTACAAACAAGCAATAATTCATAATGCGTCATTTTCTTTTTCTTTAAGTAAAGTATGAAGCTTTTTTTACAAATAACACTAAATTCTTTATTTTTGTAGTCGGTTATAAATACTTTTCAGAATAAATATGAATTATTTTCTCGCACGCGTTTCGGAATTTTTTTTTTGCATTCACAGAAGTTTGATCACAATTTAGTCTGCAAGTTTTATTGATTGGTACATGAAATTAACAATGTTGTTCCGTAGGTTGGAAAAGATATTTTCAAACGGGATATAGATTCAAATTGATAATCGGCTATACAATAATAATGATTATGAATAAAAATAAGTTGTAAAACAAACTTTTTAGGGCCCACACAAATAACTAATCAAAGAAAAGATGGTAGGAAATTGTAGAACAAAATCAATATAAGAATACATTTAGGGTTCATAAAATGACGAATCGAAGAATCTTATACAGCTGTATTCTCGCGGCGAACTCGGATTCTGTGATGTAAAAAGCGGGGATGACGAAGATTTCTGCTATGTTAGGATGAAATTGCACTTGCTTATCAAACTTTCGATCTCATTTTCGACAGTTTCATTGCCTAAGGATATTCGTTTATTTTTAATTGAAATTAGAATCTTAATCGTTGCGATAAATTCTTCGTTATAACTTTTAAGTATGTAGAAGCCATCTCGTTTATTCATGTCTTGCTTTCATTATCTGAAAGATCGTTAAAAGACGATAAAAAATGAAATAAAATGACCCACCTTCAAACGTGGTCTTGGTGTCTAGAACCATGAAGTATCGTCCTTTTATATTTTTGCAAAGCATTTACATGGTTACAATCAATTTACAAAATATGATTAAAAGGCGCCGGGTAACTAGACCATATGCGGCTGTAGATGTTATGAATAGCAAAAATGTTGCGAAAGCAAAAGGTTAGGCACTTACTGTTATTATTATTATAATTTTAGACTAATGAAGTAATTTTTTAGAAGAAGACATTGAGCACTAGCAACACATGCTATGGGCTCTAATTTATAAAAGTTCATTAGATTAGCTTTGATAAAGTAATATATTGAATTGATATTTTGTTCTGAAGCTGATGTTAGAATGTCCAAAAGGTTAATCGTAAGATTGGTCTGTAAATAACCAACTCGTCAGACTTTTCCCAATCTTTGGAATCGGAATGATTTTTATATGAAATCAATCATTTGGAATGATATTTTTTATCCAACATTTATTTATGGCTTTCAACAAATCATATAGGCTTGGATGAGGAAGACTTTTGATCATATCATAATTAACACCGCCAAAGAGCATTTTGTTTCTTATGCAGAACTCTTATAATTTCATCAAACAGAGAAGGCAACATGTTAACGTTAGATGGATTACGACCTTATGCTTTCTTTTAGCTTTTCTTACAGCCACTTTTCATTCTTTTTGTCGCTCATTGAAAGAGCTAAAGTTAATTGAATTAACATATCTTGTAAACTTTTGTCTGGAAGCTTGCAATCTGCGAAAAATAATAGAGAGTGAACTATTCCAGAGAGAGGAGAGAAGAATTTAGTTATCTGAAAATCTGTTTCAGCATTTTTTATTTCCTCCTGAAATGTATCTTGAATTAAAGAAGCATCAGAAACTAAGTTGAACGATCCTGTAACAACTGTGTGAGATATAATGCCGTTAATTTTTAGGAGTGCATTGTCACCTATTTCAAAAATAATTGAAAGGTGGCGGCTTTTGCTTAGGTAAACATCCTTCACAATTTTCCATTGAGAAATGAAATGAGTAAAATTTGAAACAATAACGAACTATCAATGCTGGGATCATCATCAGCGTGTAAAAAGCTTAAAGAATATTTATTAAAATAACGGGAGGAAGTAAAGTTAATGATGCGAAAAAGGGCCCCCCCCCTTTTGCTCGAAATCGAATCACCAAAACTAGTGTGTCTTGAGTTAAAATCACCAGCCATAACAACGTTACAAAAACCATCCAAAAAAATATAAATCTTTCTGACTCATCTTTAAAGTATTGAATTGGAATGTTGGCTGGGAAGTATACCGACATTATCACAATGTTTGGTCTGAGACTGATTATTTTTATAATAACTATATCAGCCAGCGATTTGCATGGAATTTGTATGAAATTGATATCTTTTCTGATGAGAATGGCGACCCAACCATAATCATTACGAAGGCATTTAACGACCGCCTTAAAATAAGCGATTTTCAGCTGAGATACCTTTTAATTTGATAAAAAAGACTGCACTAAGTATGCAGAAATTTACTCCTTTTGAATTTAGAAAAAAATCCGAAGTGTATGCATTAAGTTTGAAGCTCTAATTGTTATATTGTAAAAAGATCATATTTTATCATTTAAGCGATTTAATACTGAAGAGGATCCCGACTATCGGAGCAAATTATAAGAAAATTTGAACACCAACATTTTTGCAACCAAATTTATGCATGCGTTTACGCACCGGTGGTAGCAAAAGTATTGAAGACATCGTTAAGAAGTTTTTCAAGTTGTAGTTTGGTGCCCTTTAACAAAGTTTTTTGTTTATTTGTCTTGAAGAACTTGTAGATTGACTGTTTATCGGTTTCGAAAGTTGAAATTTACGTCTCAGAAGCAGACAAAAATTCCTTGTACGGACCTTGTTGACAAGAATACGCGCATTCCTAATATTTTGCGAAGCGGAAGAATTTTCAATGAGAGGAAAATTTTCCTCATATTCTATCTAAAGCATTCAAAAGGTTTAACATATATTTTTTTATATATGACAAATTTTCAACATTATCTTATTGATTTGCTCCTCATGCCTTCACTTCGGTCGATTTTTACTATAACTAGTGTGTGAGGGCGAACTACAGGCAATACATTTAATGGAAGAGCACTTATTAGACGACAGACCAGAGATTTCCCATAATTTAGTCATCTTGCCTCTTTACTTCTGCCAAATTTTGGCAACGTGGCCAAATCTTCCACATTCAAGGCATTGTTAAGGAGTAAATATAATATAATCAACATGAAATATGCAATA